TATATATATATATATATATATATATATATATATATATATATATATATATATATTTTTTTTTTATATTAATAACAACACTATATAGTATTAATACAATCGCAGAATACTAACTTTGAGGACAGTGAGATTCACAGATGTCACATAACCGTTGCTTAACGCATTAACAGTCTGCAATTTAGCTCTCTCAGCCGCTCTGAAATCCATAAAGCGATCAATGATGAACCTCATTTTTTCTGCAGCTGTGTCATCCAGCATAAGCGAGCCATGCCCAGTGACGCCTTTGCATGTTATTATCAATTCTAATTTCGTCCTTTCATCAGAAGAAACTAAATAGCCTTTTGAATCTTCGGAGTATAAACCTTCATCCAACACGAAGCCAACGTTCAAGGATTTGAAGTGCTCGCTATGCACGTACTCCTTCATGCCTAAAGCACTGTTGATCTCTTCGTCCGGCACGAAGGAAACGTGAACAGTTCGCGAGAGACGTTGACCGTTCAGCTTGAGTCTGCGAATCGCTTCTAGATACTGTATTCCTAAGTATTTCGTATCCTGAGCGCCGCGAGCATATATGTCACCCTGCGCGTCCATGTGCGCGTCGAACGGCGGATAAGTCCATTCGTCCTGGATCGATAAATTATTTCGTGATAATTGCACAAACGACAGATGTATAAAAATTAAATGATCGTGCACGAGTCACGTCAGAATGTAACTCGCCGAGATCGCTTAATTTTTGTTTAGCTCTCGTTTGGCTGACGAACATTAATGCTTTCATATGAGCGAAATGCCTATCATTAATTAAATTTTTAAATAGAAATTTTATTATCACTGCATTAAAAAATACAGTTCCATAAAAACGAGTAGATATATTTGAACATTGACTATACAAATATAATTTAAAAGGTTGTAAGTGAAAAGTCAGAAAATTTCAAAATCAACTATTAAGCCAGCTTTGTATGATTAAAAGATAAAATTTTAACTGTTGTTAACTAAATATTCACCTCATACGAGGGCGATAGAGGGTTAATGATTTTAATATGTATCGGGTATTGTGTGAGTAAATTCAAATTTTTCCGGGTAAAATATAACGATTATACTTCTGTATTATCATAATTTTATAAAACAATATATCATGTTATAAAATTATAATAGCACAAAAATGCATATCGTATTATTTTATCTAAAAGATCCGAAATTACTTATTGTACAGTTTAGTAATTAATTTTTCGCAATATCTTGTATGAAAAGGTTTGCTTACCTCAAAGACCGGCACAACGTCCATATGACTGTTTAAGAGGATCGACGACTTGGTCGGGTCGGTCCCTTCCCATGTGATGACGACCACCGGTTTGTCGGGACGTACACGATGAACGTGAATCGGCAATTGGAGAGAATCGGCTTGTTTCAGTAAGAACGTTACGCAATCCTCTGTAGAACGAAAGTGAAATTTATCGAATTATTTGTTATGCAAGTATGGCAAGACATTTTAAATATGGGAAAGGAAAAAAGTTCATATATAATTATATAAAAATATATAATTATATTAAATTCATATATAATTATATATATTCATACCCAGATAGCCAAATCTGCGCGAATAGATTTCGAGCAGAACTTGCTATCAACCTTTGATGGCAAATAGATAACAAATTTGATGCAGGATCTGTTATATCAAATTTTGTTGCCAAATTGCCGCCAGATATGCGGCAGAGCTTGTTGTCGGATAATTGCTGCAGATTTGCAGCAAAAACCGCGTAGAGCTTGTAGCGATTTGACGGCAGATTGGCGGCAGAAACCGCGCAGATCTTGCTGCGCTGCAAACTTTGCGCGATTTTTGCTGTAAATTTGGCACCAAGACAGCAAGATCTGTCGCCAAAACTGTAGCCTAATGTAGACACAGATGGTTTTGCTGTGGATTTTTTATCAAATTTGCTGTCAATCTGCGCGCAGTCTGCGCTCAATTTGTTTACTGAGTATATAATTATATATATTAACAAATATATAATTATATATGAGTTTTATCCATATATGTGACCTTACATATGTAACCTTACATATCTAATTATATATATGCATACATAAAACAAATATTGTTGAATGAAAAAAGGAAAACATAATTTGATTCAATTAAACATCAACATCATGGACTATAAACATAAATATTCACTTCAATTATATCTTTACAAATCACAACATTCTTTTCAATATGGCCATATAGAGATAAAATCTATACATGAACTTTATTTTTCATATCATAGGGATATCAATATATATTTGTCAGAGCAAAACGTTTTTAAAAGTGATTTCTGGAACATCCTCCAATTTGTTGAAATTAACGAGAATTGTTCTCGCGTTAATGTAATTATCGCGTGATTATCTTAACTAACCGTAATTAACGTCCGGATGCACCGACGGTATCCGCAGATACTCGCGGTAGATTTCCACAGCCCTTGAGTTAAGATCGTCCAACGATTCTTCGGACTTCATATTCTTCTTCATGACGATCTGCTTGTGTGCTTTACCAAACGCTGAAATGAAACTGAACTGAACAGTAAAGAGGAGTTTTTAAATTCAAAAATTGAATAAATATTGATACAGTAATTTATCCTATCTGTTCGATTTATATAACACATGCGGTATTCATCTTCCTTTTTTATCCTTTTATTTTTTTATTTCGTTATCAGCGTTATCGTAACGCTGATAACGTTCATTATCAATATTTGACGATAGATTTATTAACGCGTTGATTACCGCTGGAATAGCTTTTGAATGTCTGCGTCTATACTGCAATAAACATTCTATTATCACTAATATATTCCACTCTTAACGCGACTCTAAAACTACAAGGAGATAATGTAAACACAGTGTACAAATAATATTATTGTGTAACATTATTATGTAACATTATCTTTATTGTTATCATATTTACAATTTTAGAATCACGTACGACGTTCGATTTATTTTATCCTTAGCATTACGAGGCATTGAGGAACTTTTACATTTCTTGCGTGTCTTGTGCTTTTATATATTACTTTCTTCAAGAATATAACTTTATAAAGATAACGAATATATGAGGTGAATTTTTAACAGCGATAAAATCATAAAATCGCTTAACATCGGTATAATGCAATAGATATATGAACTTAACACATATAGTACATATAATTATCAGTTCTTCACACTCAAGACGCTGATAATGATAAGCATATCACTGACATGCTGAGTGATTTGTAATTAATGGTAATTAATTAATTAGTAACTGACTAATAGCATTCTAATATGGAGTATAAATATATATGTTCATGCTTTTAAACACTCGCGACAGCTGGTATTAGTTTGGTGTAGATCTCTATTCCTTTGAGGAATATGTCTTTGTTGAGATATTCATCGTGATCGTGCAAAAGTATCTTTGTTTTATTCATCGGCGAGAAGCATATAGCGGGAATGCCCACCTGTCGAATAAAAATACAAAAGAATACGTTTATAGCGTCTACTTGCTGGGTTGCTTAAATGTCGAATGTTATGTTTTAATACTTACCGAGCGCACGTAACGGCTATCCGTGCCTCCCGGGAAGATACCGATCTCCAGTTCGATACCTTGTTCCTCGCAGCTATTTTTAAAAGCGATCCAGAAAGGATTGGATTCGTCGAGCTTTGTGTTCTCGACTTTGGGATTTTTCTCCTCGAACGAGTAGGTCACATTCGGCCCGGCCTCTTCGCACCAGCGTTTAATGGTAGCCTCCAATTCTTCGTGATCGACAGTAGGCGCTACGCGAACATCGAACATAACAGTAATTTCTTTGGGTATCACGTTGGTCTGTACGCCACCCTGAAAGAGAAACATTCAACGAATTAGAAATGTTAACCCTGATAAAAAAAAGTTTATAGAGAACGATAGAATAAAATTCTATCGTTCTATCGTTTCCTATTTTGAATATGGATTTTGGTTCGTGAATTCACAAATGTAAATAGAATTCTATCGTATACAATAGAATACAATAGGTAGTGATAGAATTTCTATCATCAGTTTCCTATATAATACAAATAGAATCCGATTCTTATAGATAAAATACCAGATAAAATACCAGATAAAATACCAGATAAAATACCAGATAAAATACGATAGGATTAATATATCATGCTCGCGAATGCTGACGCTTGCGAACAATAGAGTTTATAAAAAACAATACAAATTGATAGAAATTCTATCGTTCTCATTCGTTCTCTATCAACTTTTTTTTACTAGGGAATAGTAGACAAACGTCAAACAGACGAATTCAAAGGAGTGGGTTAGATTCGAAAATTAGAAGTCGATAAAAATGTAGAACATTAAAGTATAGAACATAATCGCAACGAGGAATAATAAAGCGAGAGATCACACGCATTATTGCAAACGGTCCAATTGTTACTCATAAATGGTGAAGATACTTACTGCGTAATATAAAAATCCCAATAGGACAGCATGTAAAACAGAAAAACAGTCACAGTGATTCAAACGTTAAAATTAACTGATCTCTTAGAATATTGCTTTTATTTTTAGTATATAAATTCAATACTCGAATATATTTCATACTCGTATGATGTGCATAAATTCACCTAGAAGAAAAGATAATAATCCGAAAAAGATGAATATATTTACGGCTTCTAAATATAACGATTCGACATTCTCATATTCTTGTTAGAGCTTAAATAAATTCGGATTATCGGATATTAGAATTTGAGTAAATAAGTGACAATTATTCCGGATATTAAGTTATCTGTAAAAATTTTTACCTTCCACTCTTCCAGATACAAAGACGACAAAAGCTTCTAAGTAGCGTGTAACAAAAATACGACAAAAATCACTGCTATTTGTAGAGCAGATTTTCGATCCTAAATCATTCTGCTCGTCTATTAATTGGTAGAATCTGTTCTTACAACTAGCGGCCGGCATTTTTGTTATAGCCTGTAAATTTCATAGAAAACTTACATTGATTTTCGTAAGATTCACAGACGTCACATCGCCCAACTTCATAGGATTCATAGGATTCATCAGTTTCGCCCTTTCGGCCGCTCTGAGTTCCATGAAGCGATTGATTATGTACGTCAGCTTCTCCGCGGCCGTGTTGTCCATGATGATCGAGCCGTGGCCGGTACTGCCAGCGCAGTTTATCTCCACGTGCCAGATCGACCTCTCGCCGTAGAACATGTAGAAGTGATCCTGCGGACAGGCGACGCCCTCGTCCAAGGCGAAGCCGATGTTCAGTGACTTGAAGTCCTCGGTGTGCACAAAGTCCTTCATGCCGAGGACCCCGCCGATCTCCTCGTCCGGCACGAAGGAAATGTGAATGGTTCGCGGCAAGCGTTGTCCGTTGATCTTCAGTCTGCGGATCGCCTCCAAGTACTGAATGCCGACGCATTTCATGTCCTGACTGCCGCGCGCGTAGATGTTGCCTTTCTCGTCCATGTGCGCGCCGAACGGCGGGTAGGTCCAGTTTTCCTACGTCAATTAATTAATTATGTAAATGGCAGATGCGGCAGTGGGCAATGATCGTGCCTTAAGTGAAGTTACGTTACACATCTTGATGTCCTGGTGATAATGATCTTGATGAACAAGAATGTGCACTTACCTCGAAAACTGGCACGACATCCATGTGACTGTTCAAAAGAATAGCCGGCTTCTTCGGCTTCGTTCCTACCCACGTAAGAACCACAATTGGTCTTTTGGGATATACATGGTAGATCTTAATCGGCAAGTCGAGGGACTCGGCCTGTTTGCGCAAGAACGTCACGCAATCATCTGGAATAAGAATATGAATTAAATGTATATGATAAAAAGAGAGATATGGTGTACGTATAACTAGAAATATTTAGTTATGAGCAGTATAATTGCATCACCCTATTTATCTTTGCGTGATAGTAATCCCAGACAGCACAAATGTTCAAAATCGAGTCATAACACGTCTTTAAGACATCTTTAAGACAATACCGTGTAAACTTAAAGATGTCTTAAAAATGTCTTAAAGATGTTTTAAAGACGTCTTATGACCCGATTTTGGACATTGTGTTGTCTGGGATGTGTATGATCGATATGACTGTTACTTTAGTACAGTCACATCTATGTAGTTACATGTGATCTAGTTGTGGCAACTGGAAATCGATTGAGATGATGAAGGCACTTTGGAGCAACTAGATATCGTTACAGTTGCAACGCCAGTAACTCAGCAATTGCTCTATGATTGCAGCCACCATATAATTATTTATATAGTAATAGTATTTTGCTTTGAATCTGTTTAGTAAGATTTATGTGTGAGTCGACCATATATTTTTCCTTATATAAATTTTATACCTAACTGATTATTTGTGCATTATAACATGACGGAATTTACGCAACTTTCCTTCACAAAAATTACATGTAGCCGCCGGTTGGTTATCTTATCGTATGACCTCTGTAATATTGTAATAATACAGTTGGCAAAGTACCCAATAAACATGCATGTCTAAAAGATGTCTAAAAGATATCTAAAAGATATCTTATGCAACATTTTGTTGCATAAGACGTCTTTTAGATATCTTTTCGACATCTTTTAAACATGCATGTCTAAAAGATGTCTAAAAGATATCTAAAAGATATCTTATGCAACATTTTGTTGCATAAGACGTCTTTTAGATATCTTTTCGACATCTTTTAAACATGCATGTTTATTGGGTATTTTGTAACTTTGTATCAAATATTATTATATTTTTATGCGTTGACATGATTTAAGAAGGTATATATAATATACGTTGCACAATAAAATTAGTAAAATTTATTTCTCAGTAAACAAAAAACATTAAATATTGAAATATTGATTCTAAGCGTATTTCTTGAACATTTTCGTTTAATATTCTAAAAACATTTTAATGATATTACCGAATAATACGATCCTTTTCAATATTGCAAAAATGTTTTAGAAATATTAAAGTGTCGAAATTATTCATAATAAGGTCGATACAACGTTAAAAACTATAAATTAGAAAACGTTACTAAATATCGTTGCAATAATGTTTCTATCAATGATTTTTTGCTTACTAGATTCTTTTTTTCAACACGAGAAATACATTTTACAATAAACAATAGTTATCTGTTGATAATAATAACTTATCATTATATGCGTTGGACAGATAGTTACAAAAACACCTGTTCTTAATTAACTTGGAAATATCTCATTAAATAAGATATAGATAAAAAGAAATATCATTTCAATGGTATCTTTATCAGATAACGAGTTGCTAAATAATTAATAGTTCGAAAATAAAAAATTTCTAGTAACGCGTACAATTAATTACAGAACTGTTGCTCACTTAAACTTCTCCACAGAAAAAATTTCGCCTCAATTTGCAAGTATCTATTTCGTTCTTTTTTTTCTGGGGAAGTGCCAACGACAATCTCATATCCTCCTGGGTATCTTGTTATTGTTAAGCTCTTCGTAGGAGATCTGGTACTTCGTCGATGCTCAACGAGCCGGACAATTTTCTTAATTAACGCGGAAACGTGTCGTTAAGCGCAGACGCGAACGACCGCAGTGATTTTAATTTTTATATTCGCACACTACCGATCTGTGTGCGGGGCTCTACTCTTGAAACAATGATGTATGTAAATGATAAGTTGCGAATGATATCAATAGACAATATCAAAGGATAATATTTTGAACAATCGTAAATGCAACGTATACGCAACTCGTCATTCGCAATGCAACGGTTGAGTCACACCACGTTTCGGAAGAAAAAAGAAATAATTTATGCTGCTGTACGTGTGCCTTTTATCAGTCTTTTGCTGTTGATAATTAAATTATATGCCTGTGTTTCTTGTAAGATAAATCAAGATACATATATATTCTAACTTAGTAGCTACTCAGCGAGATATGCTAATCTGTTTGAATAAACTCTTGTAAACACTTCGAGTTCGACGTCGTGATTTTTCGCTGAGTTAGTTGATCACTGAAATAATCAGCCTTGTATGTAACATCAGGTCGTACAAACTTTCAAATTATTTTAAAAACATCCAAAAGACACACTCTATTTCTTTTAGACATTTCTCAAATGTCTTTAAAACATCTTTTAGTAGTTTGTATTGTCTGGAAACATGAATTGTGATAGGTATTGCTTGTTTCACTATGTGATACTTGTCCAATGTTTGTAAAAAGTTCATATATATAAATATACTTTTTTTCCAATATTGCCAAGCGCAATTCAGTGCATTGAAAAACGTATACGTATATTTTCGATTACGAATACCACAAAATAATGTTCAACAATACAATATTAGACGCATTTTCGTCGTTCGCAACGTACGCATACATAACACAAATTCAAGGCCCCTGTACACGTATTATGAATCTTCTCGGAACTCATTCGTGTTCTATTTTCTTTTTCACGATCGTTTACAAGCCCTCGTTCGGCTTAATAATTTAACTGTGTCATATATTTCTACGCGAACCAGCGCGCAAAAGCACCAACTTTTTCAAGCGCGTTAACGAAACATATATATGTTATGTTGAATAAATCTGTACAAGATTGCACATAAATATTGTATCAAACATATGAAGATGCTTATTTTTGAAGATAAATCATCAAACTCGCTCATATCCGCCCTTCACTTGAATTTATAACGCGCGGATATTGAATAATTGCGGATCTGCACAATAAGAGAAAAAATATTATGACAAAAATAATCTAAGGCAAATTTAAGATAGAGATCTAAGATGAAAGTCTAAAATAAAAGTCTATATAAAATACAAAAATGAGGTAAAAAATAATAAAATAAGATAAAAAGACAAATTTTAGATAAATTTAAAATAAATTTATAAAATATAACAAGTACTTACGACAAAAAGAATTTAAAATAAATATAAGAATTTAAAATAAATATGTCTTTAATAAAAATATAAGAATTTAAAATAAATATAAGTCTTTAATAAAAATATAAGAATTTAAAATAAATATAGGCCTAAAAATTTCAAAATAAAAATTAAAAATACGCGATTAAAATATACGATTCGTGCCGCGCATTGTTTATTATATTTCACGTGCAATCATTCCGTTCTCCTTCGCGCGCAAGTTTTTTTGAGCTACGCGCTACGCAAGCTTGTCCGAAAATAGGACTATAAAATGTGAAATTTCACCGAGTTTCACCTCACCGTAATTAATGTCCGGCTGCACCGATGGTATCCGCAAGTACTCGCGGAAATTCTCCACAGCCGTTGCATCCAGTTGCGAAGGCGAAGACATCGTTGCGTTTGGTGCGTTGCCTGTTCGTGCTTGTTTTTTCGTGTATAGTCGTTTGTTGGAGTCGACAATTAGCCAAACTCGACCGTGCCTCCAGCAAACGTCGCGCCGAATGATGCCTGCGTATCGCGCCTCGCGCCTCGGTGTCGCCGGAGGAGCAACTTTCGCGCGCATGCGTATCACGAGCTGTCATGGCGAAGCGCGACGGAGCGCGAGGAAAAGTTAAGACTGGCTGCATCTTTATTTGCGCTGCTCAGACTTCACATTTCTACGCATTCAGTGATAAATCACCTATCACTGCGTTACGCATTCCTGATAACGAACGACACGTGCAAACAATTGTGGGCGCACAAGATGCGATCGTTGAGGAACTGGTGCAGTGCGTACAGGTTACTTTTTTCGTTTATCTGCAATGACGACGACGATAAAAATGCCTCGTTATTAATAGCATATCGGTTGCTACGCGGTTTCACGTTCGATTACTCGGCTCGTACGATCGATTATTTTCGGGAAAAGACGCCTCGAAAAACATTCAAGTGTCTGAAAGACAACCGGACAATTGTAAAAATCTCAGAAATATCGTATGAAATTCGCCAGGAAGACGACTTTATAATACCTCTTAGGTACCTTTGAGATAATCCAAATGGAATATTTTGTAGATTTAGAAATATCTCTGTGATGAAATATCTAAACTGGAGTATCACAGAGTACTTCATCCTTCCATTGATCATGCAATACTATATTCATATTTTTTTCCCATGTATAACATTTTTAGCAATAAGTATTTTTAAAGAATGCCTATTATTTATATTATTTATATATAACAATCTTTTACAGTTTGATATAGGAGAAAAAACACATGTACATGTTGCTCTTTTATCCTTTTTTTGGTTTGTTCTTTTCAGCTGAACTGGTACAATAAGTTAAAGTGAGACAAATATGTTTTCTCACTCTATCTTATTGCACCAGTTCAGCAGTGAAGCTGAAAAGAACAGACTGCTAGAGAAATGTTTATGAACATACTTTTTTTTATATGTTTATGAACATATCTTTTTTTCTTAAGTATACATTAAGTATACAATATGTAAATTTACAATATACATATGTATATATTATCATATACACATATACATATATGTATATATTATATCACATATATGTATGTATGTATGTGTGTGTGTGTGTGTATTATTGATTGTAAGGCTTTAAGTAAAAACAATATGCAATAGCCTATAACAATTATTACAATATACAACATACTACTAATAATACGCATATTTATCACATGTATAAATTTTGTACATGAATTCGTGAATAACTCACAAATGTAATTGTAATACATAAATCGTCACGTTATAAAATTATACTTTTTTTTTTTTTTTAACCAATCTTGGTATTCAAGAGCTAAATTAACTGTACTGTATCATGTTGCAGTTACTTGTAATAATTTATCGTCCTCGTTGTTTGCGTGAGATGCCATCTTTATGTCCGATTTTGTAATCTATGTACAAATAATTGATAAACTTGTATTACAAAAACGTCTAAATTAATATATAATACTATTTCACTAATTATATTAAATGAAATAACACTATATATAAATAGTGATGAGATAAGTAGAATCACATTATCTCTCTTCTACAAAGTATGGTATATATATTATCTCCTTTCCAACTAGAATATAAATAACAAAACGAGTTTACCTCGATTTGATGAAGTTTCTCGGTCGCTATGTTTCTGCTCGAGGTTTTCAAGAATTTTCTCACAAATGGTGCTAAGAGCATTGGATCTAATTTTTCAACATCTTCAGAAGTAATCAGAGTCACAAGAAGACCGATGCTCATAGTTACGACGGCACCGATCAAGGTATACCAGATATAACTGAGACGATACACCGTCAATGGCTCCCTATTAGATAGGATAACTATTTTATCATAACGTATATACATTAATGCTGCAATTCTAAGCAGAATCGTAAGTCTCGTAACTTGTTCTCGTAAAGAACTGAGTAGACAAATCTATGCAATATCATATGTCGTACAATCGTAAATATCGTAAATTACATGAAATCATAGATATTTACGAGTAATTGTACGACATGATATTGCATAGACTTGTAAATCTACTCATAAATTCTGACGAATTTTACGAGAACAAGTTACGAGACTTACGATTCTGCTTAGAATTGCAACATAACTTTCTAACAAGTTATCAGGACTTATTATCAGTTATTTGTATCAATGTACTGATTGAGATCCATTTGTACCGAAGCTGAGATACATTTCAACTCACTCTGCATTCGGGTCGTCCAAAATTGAGTCAGGCGGAACGAATAACAGCAAATTCTCCACTTGGGGAAACGAGTACGTGCATCCTTCTATGGTGACGGGTTTCTCCTCGTATCTGTAAGGAGATGGATGCATCAGAATAGATATTCTGCTTTGAAAATAATTAATTGGGATGCGATACGATATAATATAAATCCAACACTGTTGAAAATATGAAATATATCAGTGACTTCGACACTAACTTGACTCTCCCTGTGGCAATTGCTGTTCCGGCGGAGAGGCCAAGCCAGCCCATAAAGCCTAAACCCGCGAGTCCCCCTACCAAAGCGCCCTATCGCAGGTTTGATAAAACAAAATTAAATAAGAACGGAATAATTCGATATAATTTTCTCGTTAAGTCTTTCGCTCCCTCGCCGCGGCCATTTTGATTTATGACCGTCGGAAGAGTAAAAAATACACAATTCCTACGCAACATGTTGAAATGAAATTATATGTTTACAAAATGATGATTTGCAATCGATCGAGTAGACCCGTAAAATAGTCCGAGCACTTTCCATTAACAATCAATAAATCGCCGTAAAATTAACGTAACAAGATCATGAGAGAAGGTAGGTTAAAGAGGAAGGTTGCAGGTCACACTAATTTTACGATTATTTATTGATTGTTCGAATAAAAGGAAAGTAATCAAAGTATTTCACAAGTTTGCTGGATCGATTGCAAGTATAATTTGGATTTTAACGTGTATCTTCTTGTTTCTGACGTCACCAATCAAGAGTTTCGCGGAGAGGCCTTAAGCTCAAGGTTGAGTTGTTTACCGACACATACCCTGGCGTTAATCCATGGCAACAGCACGCCCATGCTGAATATACCGAGAGTTGGGCCAGTACTGATGGCGGACAGACTTATTGACAACTGCGGTATTTATTAAATATAAAAAGAGCAAATGATACACATTGATTTGAATCCCTCTGATACTAATCGTGCATACCTGTAATACGTGAGTACTCGTCTTCTCGACGAGGAAAACGAGCGCAACGCAGATCGCCCCTAAAACGACAACTGTGAGCTTCAAGAAGATGTCAGTTCCTTTGCGCGTGAACGGCGTCTTCATGAAAGGCTTAACGAAATCTTCCAGCACCACAGCCGCCATGGAGTTTAAGCCGGTGGATAGTGAGCTGAAGAAGTATAGTCCAATTTACTTAGAAAAATTATTTACCTAAACAATACTAATTATAGACCCAATAAATTTTTATTTCATTTATTTTAAATATTATGTAATATGTAGAAATTGAAAAATTACGCTTACACAAACATACATATACCATACACTTATATCTTTTAACACAGAATTATATTATATTAAAATATCTCTTTACATTTAATAATATGATGAAAGATTTCCTCTTCTCTTTCATTTTCTGTACCATCTCGTCGTAAACGTAATTAACTAACCTGAGTGCGGCGCTAAAAACACCCGCCACGAAGAGACCAGGCAGTCCTGGGAGATCCCCCAAAACGTTCATTACCAGTAACGGTAGCAACTGGTCCTTCGCACGCGCTAGCTGTGTATTACGTTATATATACGCCATTAGTTACACTCACATTTAACATCACGAGTGTTAGGGACTGCAAATAAATGTTACCTTGGTCGTGAGTGGATCGCAATCGTGATACCAGGCGTAAATCAGCAGACCGGCATATCCGCAAATACCAATCAGAGCCAAAACTCCGAATATAAAATACCAGAGTGCTCTAAAACGCGATCAGAAATACGATCAGAAACGAATTATCCTATTGCGTTCAAGTATAGAAATTAATAGAATTGATACGATAGAATGATACGCCATTGCGTTTTTGCAAAAGAATACCTTCTGGCCGATTGTAAGGTGGGAAGCGCCAAATATCGTTGAATCATATTCTGGTTTATGGCGGAGATTTGCAACCAGTGCACTAAGCCGCCTATCAGGAGACCCCAGATAGTGTGTCTCGTCAGAGGACTCCAGTCTGTCCTGTTGAGAAAAAGAAATAAACGTACATTATGTGTTGATTAAATAAGTTGTTTTTGTAAGTTTCTCATTGTGACTTTAAGGAAGATACGAGATGATGAGATAACAAGATCAATCGTTCGTATTATTAGCACTTAATGCCACACGCACGAGGGGAATTCGAGTCTTCCGGATTCCAGGTTCCTTTGAATCACCAAGGATATCCCGCCGAGGTCGCACGTGCCCTTAATTATGATTAACAGCATGGAGCCGAACATGATGAAGGCCTGAATGAAATCCGTCCACACCACCGCTTTGAGGCCGCCCTAATTCCAATGATAGATTTTTTCAGTGCAACAACTTGCGACATATGATAAGACAAGTGGACACAGCATACAACTACGTCTACGTCTCTGATTGTAATAGAACTTTATCCAACAAATCAAACATCTTACCACACAGGTGTAGAATATGCAAACAATGCACACGAAGGGCGTGACTATGTGCACATTCACTCCCGTCACTAAAAATAAAAACAGGTAACGAAATTGGTTATATTATGAGAATAGATAAAATGTAATCAATTGTAGGTAATAAAAAAAGTCAATTACAACTTGTGTATATATCATGCAATTTAGAGGTTGAATTCAACGCTCATTACATCCGTTTCTTATCAATTGCGCAACATATTACCTTGATTGAAGGCCAAGGCAGGTACGTAGATAACAATTGGGAGCCAAGTCATCTGCAAGAATCATTCACGAGCATCAACATGACTTCAGGTTCAGCGAGATTTATGTACAGATTGCAAAGTTTTCTACTCACAATACCGATGCAGAATAGGACAGAGCCTAGCAATCTGATCTTTTTATCAAAACGCTTTTCGAGATACTCATAAGTGCTAGTAATCTTGAGCTCGTGGAAAACCGGCAAATACACGTAGGACATGATGAAACCCACTAAGATGAGCCCGCTGACGATGAAGAGATAGCTCGTACCGTGCACATAAATTTCCGTCGGCATACCCAGCAATGAGATACCTGAAGGGAGACCGGTTCAATTTTACAATTCTAAAAACACCGAATGTATAGCTCAATGATGTTTTTTTGAGATGCAACAGATAGAGATCGATTTGGCAATGATAAATGGAAAAATACATACGTACAATGCTTATGTCACATATTGCATAATGTTTGTTTAATTAGTTTCCTTATTGTAAATTTAACATTAGCATACGACAGGATATTTACAACCTGGATGTCTGCTTATCTAATCTAACCATTTGCCATCACGTAGAAGAAAAGAGAGAAAAAGGTGAAGTGATGGTGGAAAACTAATCAGTGGAAAGTTTCATGGATGTACGCAACAGCAAATAAGGAATTTGCTACAATCGCAAATATATCGCAACCGCAAATACAAGTCTTGTTCTGATAATTCTCTATCGCTGTTCGTGTTGAAAAATTTCTTAGGTAAAGTGCATCAATCCTGTTCTGAGATATATCTGAGATATTCCGGAAGACTTTAGATGTGAAAATGCGAATGCGATTAAATGCGAATTGTAGATGCAAAATGTAAACGCCATACCCGATATAAAGCTGGCTATCAGGCTGAAGCTGACCGGTATCGTCTTCATATTCCTACCGCCGACCAGGTATTCGTCCTCGCCCGAGGACTTCTTCACGAAGCCGAAGTAAACGCCGACGGCGCCGCACGCGATCAGCATCGAGGCGAATACCGTATAATCCGGTACGCCGAAGTTCTGCATGGACTTGCTGAGCTCCTGGATGGTAGGCATATCCGACGCCCAGTTCGCCAGCAGGTCATCCGAAGTGCCCTCCGATGTCATCTTGCCGTAGAACGTGTACTCGTTCGTCGCTTGTGACGAGCTTGCGCCGTCGCGAGAGATGTATTCCTTAAGAAATCTCGACGACGAGGATTAAGTCAAGCGAATTTTTTTTTTAATTTAACAACGTTTAACAACGATCCTCTCAAGTTGGCAGAAGTAATCCTCGGCAACGCTATTGTCTAACATAAACGAGATATATGAAGTGTCACAAAACGTCCTCTGTCAGTGGATTGGTCCTCGCTATTTGTACTTTTTATTAGAAAGAGATTACCAAACGATTAAATTCTTAAGATTGCGCTCATAAAAGCATACGCGTGCATGTCAACGTTAAGAAGAATTTGCCAATCTGGCGCAATCTACTTTCGCAGAGTCGATCCAAGTCTAAGAGCTGTCACACTTCGAATTGCATCGGATCAAAAACTGAATCTTAAAACGTTTTAAAAACTGAATCTAAAAACGTTTCTATGCTTCATAATATCGTAGTGTCTAATGTTCACGTAATTCCATTGATGACACGATATCATGAGAATGAAATTCGAATTATCGTGACGTCTACAAGAAAGCAAACAGAAGTTCGATACACGATTACATGATACGATTGTCGCGCAAATGAAGAGAACGGTGGTTGGAAAAACAGAACCAAGTGTCGTTTTTAACGGGAGCTAGAATTTCTCATACTTGCGCTCTTATAACTCTTAATACTGGCTTCTCCTCCGACAATTCCTTTGCCCATTTAGAAAGCACCTTGGCGCGCGATGCGTACGGTACGGAGTATCAATCACATATGAAGTACGGAGAATCGTTTCCCGAGTCGGTCGCGCGCGTCAACAACGAGGGTGACTATCGTACGTTACGCGCGATAGTGGCGGTTCTATCGCGAATACCGAGAGATGACTACCTTGATGGATTACGCGGCCGACCGCCCAAGGAGGAGAGCCCGTAGCGTCGTCGTCGTCGACGTCGCTGCCCCGCGATTACCTCGCATCACGATAGTGTCATTGCGACAATTTTCCAATTAAACCGGCAATGAACGGTAAAGTACGGAGTCGAAACGACCGACGGATATATACGCCCAACGGCGGCGAATCGCAAGTGGATAATACGACCTAAATTTAGAAGTGGCGGTACGGATACGTGTTTGGTCAAATAAATTGAGGGCCGCGATTTCTGGCGACCAAATTTTTGCAAGAGATTGAGCGAATAGGAAACAAACAGATACAACCGATTAACCTTTCTAAACTTTGCAATTGGAAGAACGATAAGTCCACGCGATATGATCTTGTTTTCGTAATGATTGTATCTTATCGATATCGGTAGAACTATTGCTTTTTTCTCTATTTAGGTTCTCTCATTAGTTAGCGTTAGGTATTTTTTTCTAGTTCAGTATGTTATTGTTTTTTGCATGGTGTTTCCGTTTGCCGCCGGGGGCAATATAATAAAACGTGTTTCCAGGATACATATCAGGAAATAAGACGACATATCGACCGATCACATTTTGTCCTTTAACTTTAATTAGCAAACTGAGCGCCAGATATGACCCGTGCGCGCGTGAATTTCTAGAAATATGTATAACTTATATTAATCATATATCGCGAGATAAACATAGCAAAACGAGTGTCTTCAGCCCTCATAGAAGCGTGGCAATTCATTCCCAAGTGTGACTTTCCGCTCGATTCCCTTTTCCGTGATGACGCCGGTGCGTATGACACCGCCGCTGCTACCATCGCGAGCCATGGCTAGCGCCAGTGCTGAAACGAGACGCGAATATTGAAAGTTACTTCGCGAAGAAATAAGGTAAAAATACCAATTTCGGACACGTACCTAATCCCACGCATTCTTACTGTTCTGGTTTTTAAATACGAATATTTAAACTTTCAACATGGAATACATGTATATATTCAATACACATACATATACTTTATGTTAGAAATTTAAATATTCGTATTTAAAGACCAAAACAAACGGAATGTCTACGACTAGGCATGTGTTCGGGCATTGGCCAATTTTTGTTAACGTTATTATAATACAAGTTGTATATAGTATACATATTTTAAAATAAATTGAACAACATGTGTACATTATTTTGTGCCCTAAATTCCAAAAAATTCAAGGTAAATTAAGAAATAAACTTCGACTTTACTATAAAGTGTACATTTGTCAAAGTGCTAAATATTAATCAGAATTTATATTTCAAAAAGTGTTGAATGTCAATCAGAGTATCAATATCAATTCCTTTATCTTACATTACCCTCTCCCTCATCTTCTCTCTTCTCTCTCGTGATAACAATTTCGACTAGTACTCACTGTTTTCGACCAACTTGAGACTGTCCTCTTTCGTCATGTTGGACTTATACTGCGCGTCCACGTAGCCGTACACGTACGTCGAGCCGGAACCGCCGATAGAGATCGGCTGTCTGACACACATACCGCCGATAGGAATGCTATAGACCTGACCGCCCTTTTGCTTGTCCCATCCCGCCACTAAAATACCGGCCATCAGAGAGTCCCGATAATTGTAGCATATCTCGCGGAATACGTTGGCAGCGGTTTCCACTAAAGGTTGCGCGCCGAGCTCCATCCTGGAAAACCGTATATAAGTTTGATAAAATTAGTGCGCATGAATATGATAATATTGGGTTGTGTGATAAATAATTTTCGATTATTCTAGTAAAAAAAGTAAAAGGACAGTATTTGTGTAATTATAATTTTATACGCTAGTTTGATCTATAATCTTCTGTCATCCTTTGCTTTGATTATTTTATAAAATTATAACGACATAAAAATAGAATTTTACTGAAAAATCCAATATCATTTATTATATAACCCAATATATTATACAGAGTGTTTGACAATTAATAACAGTTATTAAAGAAGATTAGTATATGATTGCGCACGAATAAATGCATCTCCCAATCTTCAATAACTTAAAATCTACCTAGTCATTTACAAAATGGTAGACTTTTTTATTCAGTTTGAACTAATGTACATCGGCGGACGTCTTCACAGCTCATCTCTACCGTATCACGCGCGATCATTCATTAACCTTCTTTAAGGCTTCTAGGCACTCGTATCGTCCATCTCTTTAATGACATCAGATTCAATAATTTAACAACGTGACAGAATCATACGGAGATAGGTTAAAAAATATATTATACGCCACACACGATAATTAACGGCAAGTTATTGATAATTAACGGCAAGTTATTACAGCAAAAGAAAAGTGTTCGGACTATTTTACAGATTTGCTCAATTAATTGCAAATATCATTTTACAGATATATCTTTTTATTTCAACGTATTTCGCAAGAACTTTTAGCATGCATTTCCTCGCTTAACGTCATTAAAAAAAGATGGGCGATAAAAGTATCCAGGAAGCTTAATTAATAACTCGAAATTTTATGTTATTGTTCGCGAAGTGGTAGAGGAATTTTGTGTTCAGTTCGATGAATTCTATCTGTACATAAGTGTATCATAAATCAGACATCCTGTAAATATGCTGATACTTTACTGATGCAATCCTAAATGGTAAGCGACTATATCGGCGATGGCCTGGGTGTCCGCCGCTGAGCCAGAACGGCAACAATAAATATAATCCGTTACTCTCGTCAATTTGTCGGCGAAACGGTTGGAAACGTAAGCTCTAAAAAAATGAATTAATCAATATCAATTGCATTTATATATTGTATCTTAAATGCATCTTTCAAATGTTATTTTTATTGCTTCATTCTTGAAAGAGAATTACTAAATTAATTAAATTCAGATGAAATATCACAAGCCTTAATTGCAAACTCCATTGTTTGGTCGTTGAAGAAACATGATTATGAGAAATTATAATAAAAATCAAGCTAAATATAAGAACAGATAAATGCAGTGTCATCATATAATTTCTATTTACCCTGTTGTTGCCCGAGAATCAGCACCTATTACCACTCCGCCATCAAATTCACACGCCATGATTGACGTCTGTAAATTTAAACAGTTTTAGATTTAGCACCAGCTTAACAACGAAAAGATAATCATAAAGTAATATATCATGATAAGAGAACATATCAAACATACAATCCTTGAAAGATACTAAAATAGGATCTCGTAAGTGTATAACAAAAGAATGTTCAAATACAATATATAATCTTACATAAGTACCAAAGTGAGTTATTACTATTCCCTGTTGTGAGTTATTACTATTTCCTGTTGCATATAATAATCAAACTTGTCTTTGTAACCTCCTAAACCTTAGTTAAAAGTATGATTTTTGTTAACGTTATTAACATTAAATAATTTGTATGTAGTATTCTGAGGCAGATTAAAAAATATATATATATATTATTTTATCCTAAAATTTTCAAAAAATTTAAGATAAATTAACAAATAAATTTCGAATTGCACTCTAAAGTATACCTTCGTCCGAATGACATCGTCAAAATCTCACTTGCCAATACTGATTCTTTTAATTCTCTCTTTCTTTTTTTAAACAATGGATGCATATTTTTTTATTATAAATATACATTTGCCTACCTTTTAGTCCTACATTTTACACAAACGTTATATTCATTAAATATTTCGACTTTGCATTGTCATTGTAACCTCAAAATGTATCATCTACGAAAACTCACCCCAGTACTCTGCTCCGAATTAAGCCAATCCGGCTGGGTCGTATATTCCGAAACACTACCCATATGAGGATGAACAATATTATCTACATAAGCCATTTTTTCTTCAATTTTAATTATTTAATCAATCAACGTTAACCACACTTTGCTTGTATCACTCACAATGTACACACGAAAGTAACTACAAAAGAAACGTCGATCACTGCCGTCATTGGCCGCCAACTTGACGTAAACCTAAGGATCTACTTTTTAGGTATTTCAACTAGTAACATTTTTCTCGCCAAAAGCCACAGGGGGTCGATTGCGTATCTCAAAACGAAGTGAAACTGACAAAAGTGAGCAAATTTACTAGAATATTTGTAACTTCGTTGGTCAATGCCTAATGAATTTGCTTACTTTTGTAATTTTCACTCCGTTTTGAGGTACAATCAATCCCCAGATGTTTATACTAATAGCATGTTCGACTGACTCTGTGGGTTAACCCACTCTGGGGTTATTCAGCCTACGTTTATTGGTCAAACAAGTACTTATAAGCTTGATGATTGGCTAGTAGAGACTTATGACGTCAATAATCGCTCTCGGAGCGATTAACCCAGAGCCAATCAAACACGCTATACTAACAAAACTGCTAACAGGCTATCTAAAGGTCGTTCTATATTAGTTGCAAGCCGATCACAAGCAGACGCAATTCTTATTGCGACAGCCAATCAGAAGCATCAATGGTGCTATTGACGCTTCTGATTAGCTGTCGCAACAAGAGTTACAATCGACTTGCAACTAATGTAGAACAACCTTAAAAGCATGTAAAGCCCGTATCAGACTACGGATTAAGATTGAGATTGAATTGAAAATTGGCCAATCAGAGCAAAGTTCAGCGAACTTGAGCTTAGTAAGTTTTGCTCTGATTGGCTAAATTTTAATTCAATCTCAATCCTAATCTATATTCTGATACGGGCTTAAGGCCAAATCACACTAGCGATTGGCGATTGACGATTGACAATTGAAGATTAGATTTTAACGAGTCAACAAGCTTCAGCCTTGACTTGCTTTGTTCCAACTGGTCAAGTTCCAATTTTCAATCGTCAATCATCTATCGCCAATCGTTAGTGTGATTTGGCCTTTAAAACCCGTATCAGACTACGGATTAAGATTGAGATTGAATTAGCCAATCAGAGCAAAATTCACTAAGCTCAAGTTTGATGAACTTTGCTCTGATTGGCCAATTTTCAATTCAATCTCAATCTTAAACCGTAGTCTGATACGGGCTTAACGGTTTGTGTCCGATTTCCGGTGCATGCACGCATGTACAGTACACAAATAAAATTGGCAATTTATTAATATAATTAATAACGTAATTTATTTATATTTCATTTATTGTACATTGTACAGAATAGCACCCCAGTTCAGCACTGTAGCTGAAAAGAACAGACTAAATATATGACATTTCAGTGTTGTATTAGAGAAAATAAAACCTAGCCCTCCTAATAAGTTCTCTAAAAAGATAACGTTTCAAGACAAGGCTGTACAGACTGCTCGAAGGGAAAAGATAAAAACTGAAGTCAAACATTTAACATCTACAGGTATAATCAATATAATACATATTTATCTTAACATTTTATGTTTCTTGCATATATTATGAATCCATAGCATGTACATAGAAAATTGAATTTTAAATTGAATTACTACTAAAATACTTATTTATTTTTAGCTGGTCCTAGTGAAAATTATTGGGAAGTCTTAGCTGAAAGACAACGAATAGCACTTGATGACATATTAGAAAAAAATTAACATTAGAAGACTGTGTAGAAAAATTAAGTAAACAAAAAGAGAGATTGAAAGAGCAAAAACTCATAAGATGTTGAAAGAGACAAGGGCACTTATTTAAGTGCTGTAGATAATGTTGATCCTATGTTATATCAATATTATATTCCACATTAATTTTTGCTTTATAATTATATATCATATTTTATTACAGAAAATGATTTATGGTGGTGGCAACGGTATAAATTCATTGAATGACAGTATTTGCTAAGATCGAATGTATATATAATTTTTTATATGATTAACACATTTTATTAAACACTAATATAATTATTTATATACGATATTAAGTATGACAAGACATATATAATGACAAACATGATAATAGCAGTGTATATATTAGCAGTAACTTAGATTGATAAACACATAGGCCTATATTCTGAATTCTCTTTTATCTATAAAAATGTCTTTAAAAGAGGGTTAGGAGCCACTTGATTGGTTGAGAAGCTACATTTAAGGCACTTTTATCAATAAAAGAGGGTTCAGAATATGGGCTATAGAAAACTGCATATTGAATTAATATTTCAGAGATACTACATGACTACATACCTCAATGAAAAAGTAGCTTCATTAATATAAATCATGCAATTCTATAATGTGCGTTTTACTATATAAATCTACAATTTGTTAATAATAAGTGATAAAATTTCGAAGATAAATGCGAGACAATCAAACATCGAAACCAGACTTATGCTTTTGTGGATTAATTTCGCATCTCAGAGAATTCAATTGAAATAAAGGTAATAACATCTTAACCATAAATGTGTATAAGATCAATTATCCTATTACCTTTGTAAACTGTAGAGTATATATAATCCAAATACATAAAAGCTTACAAAAAAAATTAAACAATGTTTACATTTATATGCAGAAATTATATATGCAGATTGCAATCTTAGGCTTGTATTAACAATAATTACTTGAAACTTATTTCACGTGAGATAATTGGAAGAGATTTAAAGTTAGATTCAAATTTTTTTTAGTTGATCATATATATGTGTGTGATGTATGTACGTGGAAAAATCATATACTTATATAATATTCAACACTAGTGAATTCTATTATACTGATCACTCTTTTCGCCATATTATTTCTTTTCTTTTTTACAGACAAAGTTAAATCTTTGTTCAACACCGGTTCTCGTATGGAGAAAGCATTGCAAAGACTGGCTGAAGCGAACATGACGTCAAAATCGACCTCTTCGTCTTCCACACAGGACTCTGCGACCCAAATCACGGAGAATAATATTCCGAAAGTTAATATCGCTATCGTCGACACCCCACACACCAATAAACATTCTAACTCTAAATTCAAATCTGAATGTCTCACTTGAGACAAATTTCAAGTAACAATAATTAAAACAAATCTTAATAGATGAAAGATACAGATATCATTTGACTTTGTCATTGGCTAAAATTTCCAATCGCCTGATTACTTTTGTAATATCGGCGTTCCTATCTAATTTTAAATAATCTATCTTTCGCACATTATGTATACTGGTCCAAGTGGGTAATAGCTTACACAGCAGTCGTACATGCTCGTCCATCTCATTCAGCGTTAATTTTGTCCTGAAGGAGTTATCCAATCGTTGTATCACCGTTTCCAGCGGTAGGACACCCTTCTTTTCCGTCACGTAAATATTGCGAAGTACTTTCGCTAAATCCGGGAGTCTCGAGTATAGAGTAGCCTCCTTGTCTGCACTCGGTGTTCTCGTCATCTCCTCTAACGCCTTAGCCGCCTGTCTCGCACGAACCTGAAGTATCACGAGTCATGAAGAGATGCACGATGAAAGATGTATGTTATGACAAAAGTTAAGTGTTATTTCTAGAGGTACACATTCGGGTAATCTACTTACTTTCTCGAGTAGAGCTTTGGGGATACCCTTGAATGCTTTCGTGAGGTAGGTGTCTTGTACACTTGGTGTGGCTGGTGGGGTGTCGACGATAGCGATATTAACTTTCGGGATATTATTCTCCGTGATTTTGGTCGCAGAGTCCTGTGTGGAAGACGAAGAAGTCGATTTTGACGTCATGTTCGCCTCAGCCAGTCTTTGCAATGCTTTCTCCATACGAGAACCGGTGTTGAACAAAGATTTAACTTTGTCTGTAAAAAAGAAAAGAAATAATATGGCAAAAAGAGTGATCAGTATAATAGAATTCACTAGTGTCGACATTTCACAAGAGAGAGAAGGAGAAAGAAAAAAGCATGATAATAAGGTTACATCGAGTGTACACACGAGACAAACGCACAAGGTAATACGAGCGCTATAAAGGATCATGTCGATCTCTCGATCTTCCCTAATGACGCAATCGATAATTACAAATAAATACATATATTCTACTAACAAGTTGATCTTTCCTAATAGAAATTTTGAATCCATTCTCTAAAGTTAACTTATTAATTAAAGAAGGTTGGGTGAGATGAATGCTGTATGTAACTGCTGAATTATTACACATAAGTGGTGCTTTTATACCGATTACTGTGTTATATGCTGATCAATCAACAAAATCTTACATCAAAGTCGAATGAAAAAAACGAATTTCGCAAATATTTGAACGCATTGGTGTCTTGTGCAATATTTTGTCCCACTTAACGTTTTCGAAATTGGGAGCGTGTTATAGCATTGTATCACATATCAAGTATTCGCACGATATGCGTATTTGCGTAGAATTTCACGTAGATACTTTAAATTCCCGACGTTATTCTGATATCTTAAACTACGCTTTTAGCATTATACATTATGTGACACATAAAAACTTAAGTAAATTTATTTTTGTCAAACAATACTTCTACTTGTTGCAAAATTTGTCATTCTTACCAAGAACATCTTTGGCAGTTGCCTTTTCAGCTTGAGGTGGTTGTGGTAATTCGGCTCTTTCAATCTCTTTGCAAGCTTCCACATCAAACTCAAAGTGCCAGCGCATTATCTTCTCCTTTTCTATAATTATCGGAGTGTCCAAGCTTAACAAAAATTTCTCGTGCTCGTCTTTCACTCTCTCTGTAATAAAAATATTGAAAATAATTTTCAGATGCACAGTCATGGTAGATTCAAAGAGATTTGCATAGTACGATAATCTCTTCTAGATAATACCTAGCAGAGTGTTGTAAAATTTCCGTCTTCTCTCTAGCAATATTGCAGGTCCCATGCTGTTGTTGGACACAGATTTCAATGCATTATCTTCATCAGAGATATTTTTGCCATCACTTGCACCAATCGTGGGTGTCAGGACCAATTCGTATTTCTCATTTTTGGATACTGAACCGAAATTACGATGCTTCTCTTGCTGGTAGGTATATGCATCAGGATAAATAGTCTTTATCTGGGCCAGATGATTCTGTGTGAAATTACGTCGCAGTAATTCTTGAACCGCGGGTTTTAATTTATTAAATGTTATCAATTCGTTTCTGTTAAACAGCATTGCCGACACCTAAAAATAGGAATGAACAACGTCATCTCATCATGAGCAATTATATATTCATAAAGCACATGAACAATATGTATCATATGAGTGTGCATAAAATTTTAATAAAAAAATATTATAATGTGAAGACTTTGTAAAATCAAGATATTACTGTTTCCACACATCTGAAGACTTCTGCTAAGAATCTATAGTTGTAAGGCAATATCAGCGATGATGTCTTGCTTTCAGCAACTTCCAGATGTTTCTGATAAGCTGGTTTCTTAGTGGGACTGCATTTTACAGGACTTGGTGTTGTGTCCTTAGGCTCAAATAAAATTCTCCTCTGAGGACTCACTGCCTCCAAGATATCCCTATTCTTAGTCGGAGTTGACAAGGCCTTGGTTGGAGATCTGGCTGTTTTCTGTGGGCTGTCAAATGAGAAAAGAATATTACAAATTCCAACTCGTCAAAAACTCAATCATAAAGTAACAACATAGTCACAAGAACTTACCTCACTGGAATCTCAAGTTCTATCTTCTCAAACTTCTGCATTTGAGGTTTATTGAGATCATCCTGTTTTTGTGTCTTTTTCAATTGCTGATCCAAATTATTGAATTTTGCCATGGCAGCTTTCAACTCCGACAGTCTAGAAGACTTTTTAATTCTGTTCTTGATGTCGTTCAAACTCAAGTTTTCAGTATTTAGCCTCTCCATTGTTGAGATCTTCTTGGTTGGAGTTTCTAAGCCCTGGATGGATGGCTCATCTTTCTTCTTATCCTCTTCCTCCTCCTTGATTGTGTCATGTTTTGGAGCATCGTCAAAAGAACTCTTCTTAGGAGTCATCGACTTTTTTGGACTGAGACTACCCTTCTTCTCAAATGGTACTTTCCTAACTTCCACATCGGTAGGCCCCATCTTCTGCAAACTCTCCCGGATGTCCACCTGATGTCCATCCGCCAAGAACAGTCTGCGTGAGCGTAGTACTCGCGCCTTGGGTGTCTTGACCGTCTTCTCTGTATTCGCTTTCGGTGAATCAAAATGAATGCTACGAACTACTTTCTTGATGCAAGGAGAATCTTTCGCCGCAGTTGCCACGTCCCTAAAGATGACTTTTGGGCTCACCATTTCGCTCTCGTCGGGCACGTTTTCGGGCTTAGAATCCTTGTAGGTATCACGCGCTTGATCGCTCGATTGATCTTGCTCGAGCAACAAAACTTTGGACTTACCCCGCAAATCATCGGATGCTTGGCGCTTCCGCGTATTGAAGTATGCCGTTACAGAGGGCTGCGACATGTTTTCTTTTATACCTACTCGTATATAAGGATACATGTAAATTGTATGTACTAAGGGACTTATTCTATAACGTTTAATGATGTTATGTATCGCTGCGCAGTTCTTTCATAGTACAAAAAACTGCGCAATGATACATAACAATGTCGTTAAAAGTTATAAAAGTTATAAATATATAATATACCTCTAAGTCACGACCAATCACTACGGGCCACCTAACCGCCTTTAATGCCTTTAACCGCCAAATGATCGACGCGTAACTTACATTGCCTTTCCCACCTGCTTATCACGGCATTAACATATGTCGCACATGCGCACTACAGCTAACACAATGCCAACATCTGATGTGAAGCAGTTGGTCTGTTCTTTCGCTCTGCACTGCTGCACTGGTGCAATAAGATAATTAGAGTGAGACAAATATATGTTTGTCTCACTCTAACTTATTGCACCAGTGCAACAGCGCAGAGCAAAAGAACAGACCTAGTTTCTCAAACATCAAAACGATTGTAATGTTAACGAATCAGCATGCGTGTGAGAATGACTTTCTCCAAATTCTTATCAGATTAATTGATAATTAACTAAATCGAGAGAGTTGATAATGGAAAATGAAAGGTGATTTGTTAAAACGAGTAAATAATTCGTTTTATGCCAGTTAAGATTAGATTAAGCGAATTTTCAAGAAAGTTGCTCGGAATCAATGGAAGTCATATTTATTCCTATCAACCTATATATATCTATTCCTATCAACTGCATTTTCGCAGCAAGGAAAGTGATTCTTGAATTTGTGTATGGCTAATATGCCGTTGAAAGTATTAATATTAACTGAATATTAACTGAAAGTAAAAGAGTTCAATTTGTTAATGATTCGTAAATTTTGAAATTAAAAGATACGTCTAACTTGTCGTTAACCCCTGGGCCTCTATTCTTGAAATATTTGCGTACACGTAATTTTCATTGCGCAGCTATTTTATAGTATGATTAAACCTGCGCAGCAAAACTTACGTATGCGCAACTATTTCAAGAATAAGAGTTCAGTGTTGGGATTCTGTAACTCGTTATTGGAGTTAACGATAGTTTCGTTATCGTTGCGCAGCTTTTGTATACCGTAGAAAACTCTAATAACGAGTTACAGAATCCCAGCACTGGGCTCTATTTTATTTTATTCGGCGTAAAGTTACAAAATAAAATGGGACAATTTTATTGGCTTAACTAGGAAGACGCGACACGTGACGCGCTAAGTGGGAACGCACCCTTAGGTGCAAAAGTGTCGAAAGTGCAAGCAACGCGAACGAACCTACAGTCTGTTCGTTTTAGCCGCACTGCTACACTGGTGCAATAAGCTAAAGTGAAATAAAATATATTTGTCTCATTCTAACTTATTGCACCAGTGTAGCTGACAAGAACAGACCTCTAATATCCAATCGGAATCCTCCTGAAATATATTCCACGGAATACACGTGCTTGTCTATGCTGCAAGCCTGTAATCACAAGTTATTATTTTCGCTCTTAAAATCTAATACGCATACTTAAAGAATTATTAATATTCTTTAGGTAATAATCTTTATTAACGATGAAGAAAAAGCGTTTTAATTTGAAATCGAGAGCAGTTTCAAATGTGGAAATTGATAATTCCACCACCAATGAAGTTAGTATCTCAATTATTATTTTGAATATATAGTTATAACAAATCTACAATATTCTTTATGATACGGCCCATTTTTGTGTATATTTTTTGAAAAACAGTCCATTATATTTTGTACTCTAATTGGCGTAATAACCCTAACATGCGATATAATTACATTATTAAAGAATCATCTATAAATCTTCTGTAATGCAATCATGGTTATGTTTTAAAGCCTATTTATTTTGCAAGAAGATAATATTTATATAATATTTATTTTTATTAAATGCTACATTATTACTTTTAATTTTTAATAATTAATAATTGTTTAATAAACAGTTTACTGGATAAAATCTTTTGAATGTTATTCTGTAGAATTGAACATATGTCAAAGTTATCGTAGCTATGCCTATTAACTAATAATTATCAAATATATAATTTATTAAACATATTACAGATTGTTACAGATATTGGATATCAAGCTGACAAATATGACAGTTGCAATGCTCTTGTTCTGCCCTCTAAGAAAAGGAAGACAAAGAATATAGATAAAAAACAGTCCACTACTAAATTGTTATCGAAAAAACATAGAAAGCAACTAGAGAAAGTGGTGGAACGAAAACAGAAGAAATTAGAAGTACTATGATTTTATCAAAATATGAGACATTTTGCACAATAATTAATATTAATTTTGTTGTTGTAGAGGGCGACATTGCTAGAGAACCTTGCAAAAGTACAAGTACCCACAGCTGAATTACAACAATATGTGAGCTTTACATCTCTGCAAAACAAAGGTTTGAAGCGCCATTTTCAGGAACTAGAAACATCTGAGTCAAAATTGAAACTTATGATGAAGGAAGACGAGGAAGATTTTAAAAAGCATTGTACAAATTCTATCAAAGGAAGCAATAAAAAAAAGAGATTAGCTATTCTGAACAGTGTAAAACAAAATGAAATTAAGTCTGATCCAAATGTGATTGGATTTGAAGTAAGTATTTTAAAAAGTAAATATCTTAAGTACTTTATAATAAAAATCTGTGAAATAATATTTGTGTTACAGAAACATAATTATTATTTTGAGAGTGATAGTAGTGATGAAAATAATACCGATGATGAGAATAAGGATAAACATGTTGCTGTTGATGGACAATGGACAGTGGATGATGATCCTGAAGTTGTGACAACTGAAATAAACAATAAGAATGATGCAGTCACGAAAGATGTAGAAGATAAGACAGTATCGGAATCCAACATCCAGGAATTAGAAAATAAAAACAATGTTAGGGAAAATAAAACGATTTCAAATAAAAACGAGAAATTTAAGAAACCAAAGAAGGAAATACAACAAAATATCACCCCTAAAGATTGTACACCTGCTGTCTTTGTGCCTCTGAATAGAGATCCAGAAATGCAAGCTGCTAGATTAAAACTACCTATTGCTGGAGAACAATATGACATTATAGATATGATAAACGAGAATCCAGTGGTCATAATTACTGGAGAGACAGGCAGTGGTGAGTAAAATTATTTAAATGAACAATAGCGATATCAGAGTGATAGCGATACAATCAGAGTAATTTGAACTAAACTGTCGTATTCAAACGCTTGTGTTTACTTATTACAGGGAAGACCACACAAGTACCTCAATTTCTCTATGAAAGAGGATACGCTCAAGATAAAATGATCGGAATAACCGAACCGCGAAGAGTAGCGGCGATGTCGGTGAGCAAGCGTGTAGCCGAAGAAATGAATCTTCCCGAGAGTAAAGTTTCATACCAGATTCGTTTTGAGGGGAACGTTACGAAAGAGACAAGAATCAAGTTCATGACCGACGGAATTTTGCTGAAAGAGATTCAGAGTGTATGTATAAACGAAATAGGCTACGTTTAGCAGAGAAAACTGCTTAGCAACTGTTGCAAAATTTGTATATCTGATTGACGTATCTTGATCGCTGCTGAACCTAAGAACACACACCAATTAGATTTACAGATTTTACATTTTAAACTGAACGTAGCTTTTATAGTCTTTTATCGTCGCGACAACATAAACGACCTTTGTAATTTCGCATTTGCAGGATTTCCTCTTGACAAAGTATTCCGTGATTATATTGGACGAAGCGCACGAGCGCACCGTGTTCACCGATGTTTTGATCGGTCTGCTGTCGAAAATCGTCCCGTACCGAAACAAACACAACAATCCTCTGAAACTGATAATCATGTCCGCTACATTGCGAATCGAAGAATTTGTGGAGAATACGAAGTTGTTCAAAACAAAGCCGCCGGTGTTCCATGTCCAAACGCGGCAGTATGAAGTGAGAATACACTTCAATAAAAAGACAAGCCAAAATTACATGAAGGATGCATTGCGTAAAACGATGATGATACACACTCGCTTGCCGGAAGGAGGCATTTTAGTGTTTCTAACAGGTATAGTGATATCAAACTCGTACAACTCTTTTTAAATATATTGTCGCATACATCATCCTATCGGGGATAATTAAGTAAAACTTTGCAGGCCAGCGAGAGGTGGAAACGGTCGTGCGGAAATTGCGCGAAGCATTTCCGTTAAAAAAAAACAAGTCCACCCGAGTTAAGCGGGCAGCGAGTGAAACTACGCCGAAAGAAGCATCAGACGAGGAAGATAACGAAAATGATTCCGATCCCGAGTTAAGGAAAGCGTTACGTTGTCACAAGTCGAAGCAGAAGAAACTTGCAAAAATTAATCTCGATGAGTATGTATATGACGTATGATCATTTCAATTTTATTCTTTTTTTCTCCCGAAATATTATATCAACATATATTTCTTATTCATATCAGTTATTCTGTATTACCTACCGACGACGTGGAAGAATATTTAAGTGATGACATGGATTACTTTGATGAAGACGATGAGAATGACATGAATTTCACAAAACAGAAAGTTTCACAGCCACTGTGGGTCTTGCCTTTTTACGCACTTTTACCTGCTCACAAACAAGCTCAGGTAAATATGGGCACGTTATATTTTTCCTGTGTAAATAATAGATCAATCCTAACCAGATATCAGATTGACGACAGAAATGAACTTTGACAAAATAAATAATCCTTTAAGATTCGTTCTGTAGGTGTTCAAGCCACCGCCGGAAGGATGTCGTTTGTGCGTGGTGTGCACCAATATAGCGGAAACCTCAGTGACAATTCCTAATATTAAATATGTGGTGGACAGCGGCTACTATAAGGACAAGGTGTACGATAAGGCGACAGGTGTGAGTATGTTTAAGATTTGCCACGTGAGCAAAGCGGCGGCTACACAACGCGCGGGTCGAGCAGGCAGAATTGGACCCGGCCATTGCTACAGGTATTTCGAGAAGTTCTGTCGTTCTGCATGAAGATGCTTTATGTTTCTATTTTTCCTGCTGCGTAGATTATACTCGTCAGCTGTGTACAACGAGTTCAAAGAATACGACGAAGCTGATATTCTGAAGAAACCGATGGACGACTTGTTACTGCAGATGAAGGCGATGCACATCAGGAATGTCGTGAATTTCCCGTTTCCCACGCCAATGGATATCGAACAGCTGAAATACGCAGAGAAAAGACTTACGATACTTGGATTGTTGGAGGAACGTCCGAATACGCGGGCAGGTAATTGAATCTAGACATTTACTGTTATTTAAAAAAAATGATAGATTAAATTAATTTATTACACGTTTGTTATCATGGCTTATTTTGAGGATTCTTTCCATAACCCGCGTCGTATTTTTCTTTTTTTACGTAATTCTATAAAACAGATTTAGTTTAATAATACGGACATAGAAAAAAATTTGTGCTAACACACATGTGATGCTAGTAGCGTATTAATTAAATAAATTTAATTAAATATAATTTACCATTGATAAATTAGAGATAAAATAAATTTGTTAATGATAGATTAAGATCTAGTCCCCCCTATCATCTAATGTTAAAATATAAAAATTGTTATGTTGAAAGATATTTATGTATACAAAATTAATAACCGATTATTTTTAGCGACTTACTGTACAAAACTGACACCGCTAGGACGCGAGATCTCTCCATATCCAATCGCTCCACGTTATGGCAAAATGCTGGTATTATCGTTTTTGCACAAGTCACAAGACTTATTGAAGTACATAACATGCATGGTGGCAGCTCTGAGTGTTCAACAAATACTAGTAGATGTGCCTGATATGGGAAATACAGCTAACAACAAATTAATGCAGATTCGTCAGCAGTGGGCTGGTACCGGCAACAGTTTGCTTCTTGGTACATGATATAAAAGTATTAATACATGATATATTTTATACTAGCATGATGTTAAACTAAAAAACGATGCCCATAGGTGATGCAATGGTTCTACTAAACGCCATTGTATCCGCTGAATACGCAGCATACCAGGGAAAAAGCTTGGTAGCTTATTGCGAGGAGAATGGCTTGCGACATAAGGCTGTGGTGGAAGTTAGAAAGCTCCGACGGCAGCTCACCAATGACGTTATCTCACACAGGCCCGATCTTGACTTGACTATCGCCCCAATGTATGTATGTTTTCACTTAGTGATTTCAAACATATATCGCTGCTTTCAATAGAGAGAGTTGCCTTGCAACTTTCTCTGCTGAACATACAACTACTATATTGAATAAACTTCTTTTCCGTAACGAAAATTTTCACAGGATGCCACCACCGACCGAATCGATAGCGAATATGCTGTGTGTAACAATGCTCGCAGGTATGGCAGATCAAGTCGCTAGGAAAGTTTTGCCTGACGAGATTAAGCATGAACCGAACAACCCCGATTGGAAATACGCTTATAGGTACGTGCAGCTGATTGCACTTGGATGGTCCTGTTGATTGAGAACAATCTTTAATTTACTATGATTATTGTGGACGTGTGTAGGACAGCGGAAATGGAGAATCCTGTATTCATGCAACCCACGTGCGTTCTACAGAAAGTCATACCGAAATGGGTGGTCTATCAGGAGCTGTACGAGACAAACAAGGTATACATGCGAGGTATCACGGCAATAAAACCCGAGTGGCTGCCGATATTCGCGCAGACTCAGTGCCGTCTCAGCGAGCCATTGACTGATCCACCACCGAGGTATCTTCGCTAGTTTATCGTTTCTCCATTAATACTTTAATTTTTTCTCTTTATTTAGATATCTGTAAAAATATTAACTTACATTATATATATTATCGAATATTGAGATATAATCTCCACAAAAAATTTCCACTTAATAATTACATTAAACTTATAAGAGATCATTTTCTAATCGTAATGTAAAATGTATCTAGAATCTTTTCTATGGAAATTATTTGTAGCTACAATAAGGAAACTGGGAAAGTTATGTGTTGCGTAAACGGCACATTCGGCAAAGCTGCTTTGATACTTCCACGCATTGAAATAGAGTATCCACTAAACGCGAACGGCGTCAAGTGGTTCGTGTATTTCTTCTTAGATGGTCAAGTGTGTCCCAAGCTGAAAAAATTCGTACCATCATTGCTGTCAACACCTGACAGTGTCAATAAGATGTGGGCCAAGTAAATGTCGTTGTTTTGTCGTTATTATATCTGGTTGTTAATTTTAAACCTGTCCGACAAATTAAATTATATAATATCCTTCGTAGATTGGTGCCGCGTATTCAGGAGATAACGCAAGTGATGGTGACACACGGAATCATGAGCAAAGATAAGTTGCTCAAAACTTGGGCTTCAAACAAACAATGTAAGAGATGTTACAAGTTGTGTAATGCTAAAGTATACCTTTAACCGTGTATTTTCATGCAATTTATTTATATGCAGCATCCCTCTTTGCAATTAATAATATGAAATATCATAATTTCAGTTCTGCTGTCAGTCTACCAGATGTGGCTTCCTGAATCTCTACACACAGAAGTGGCGCTCATATGGCCACCCCTATAACGAAGAGCGCAATATTTAGAAATTATATTAAGCGTTTCGACATTCACTGAAAATTTATAATGCACGTAACATGAAATATAAATTTTCAGTATTGGCAGTAAATATCGGAACGCAGTCCAAGTAACAGTGAGATCTATAAAAATTACTTGTACATATCTTTCGCTGAAAGTGCGAAGCTACAGATTTGCCTTATAAAAATACATAATTTTCAATGTACAAACTCTTTTGTAATATAACAATAAAGTAACAAAAAAAACGCGTTAATTGTGAGAAACTGCAGTACCGGCGATCGGCGGGAGATTTTCGAACGCGACTCACGTGACCACTTTGAGCTGCTTCGAGTGGGTCACGTGACCGCGAGCGGCGGAATAGTACAGGTTATCCGCGTGCGAATTCGATCGTGTGCTCCGAGGATTACTCTTTTCGTACGCGTCGGCACGAACGAATCATCACCGGCAACATGTCCAACAAGCCTGCTTACAAAGTCGGTAAGTGAAAAAGCGCGTGTATGCATTACGTACACGCGAACAAGATTACTTGTTCGGAGCACGTGCTTGCTCATCTCGGAACAACGCGAAGTACTCGGCGTGAGCGAGATGTCGATATGTATCGTTGCGCGGATCACACGATTCACGTGTTACGATCTTCACGAATACAAATTCTAGTCGAACATGAACTTGTTTGAACGTAACCCGTGATCTTTGGAGGAGGATATACTTTGGATTATTTCTAAAGATTTTACATTTTATCATCCAATTATCGCGTAGAGTGGCGTTGGAGCATTACCTAATTAAGCGCTTGGAACCATATATTGAAAGAAAGAAAGCAGGATTTAAGAACGAATACGTTCTTAGGAGAAAAATCTCTTTCTTCTACGGTAGTAATCGTTACTTTGACTAATTTCATAAGCAAGTATCTACTGATTATAATAGTAAAAATAATAAACACTTTTTTTATGTCACACTATTGAAATATGTTAACGATATATTAATAATATAAAATGTACATTATCATACGACATCCACGGCAAGCAAACAGGATGAAAGAGGATTTCTTCCTCATCCTTGTCTCAGTGCAAGAATAAGGTACAGCAGAGTCAGATAAACAAAAGATAAATAAAGTCTAACTTTCTTTCCAGTTTGTATGTTTTTTTGTGTCCCGCACATTTTACGCGAATTTCTTTTTTATTTACATATGCAACGCTTGCGCGGGCCTATCGTGTTAGTGTTAATGATAATGTCGTTATCGTTACGTTGTCATTGCACAAGTGTAATATACAGAGTGAGCAATATAAATATAATATATAGATATATCAAATGTCCCATGTTTTAGTATCTGACACTTTGTTGTATAGCGAAAAACTAAACGCGTATAAAATACGCGTAAACGATAAAATAATGATGACGACATTGTCGTGTTACTGGAGCAACACTCAGATGGTACAGAGAATTCAAAAAAACTCTGTCGTATGTCACCAATTCTGAGTTCATTTTTAGATACAAAAAAATTTTTCAAAGTTCAGTTCAGTGAAAAGAATTCTTTCTGCATTTACAGATGAACTCAGAATTGGTGACATATGACTGAATTCTTTTTGAATTCTCTGTGCTATCTGGGCAGACATTCAGTGTCGTTTTTTTGCTTGATTGAAATGTAAACTAAATCTATCAATCGCGAACAGCGGACCTGTCCTTGGCGGAATGGGGTCGCAAAGAGATCACCTTGGCAGAAAACGAGATGCCAGGACTCATGGCGATCAGGAAAAAATACGGGCCCTCGAAAATACTAAAGGGTGCACGGATCGCAGGCTGCCTTCACATGACTGTGCAAACAGCGGTGTTGATTGAGACCCTGGTGGAACTTGGCGCTGAGGTGAGTATTGAGTAAACTCCTCAAGCAACCCAGATAACACAGAAAATTAAAAAAGAATTCAGTCGTATGTCACCAATTCTGAGTTTATTTTTAGATACAAAAAGAATTCTTTTCACTGAATTCTGAAGAATTCTTTTTGCATCTTAAAATGAACTCAGTGACATACAACTGAGTTCTTTTCGAATTCTTTTTTAATTATCTGTATTATCTGGGAAACCACTTTGACTAATGTAAAAGCATAAGTGAACTCATTACTTCAGATGTATTAAGTGACTTTTTTAAAAATTGATAAAACCTGGCTTACCTGTTCCTTGTTATGAAATTATTAATGCATTAGTTCATAGATATGTAAAATACCAATAACATAACTTTTCATAAAAAGCATTTGAATGTTTATAATTTAGTGATGAGGAACACAGAGCATGTTTTATCTACTTTTTAAATAAAGTTGTTTAATACATCTGTGGATTTCATACATCAAAATGAATTCATAATTATATTGTTAGCAAACATTTATGAATTATCAATAAAATTACCTATTTTTGGGGTAAATATGTAACAAATCTATCCTATAAATTAATAACCAAATTCATCAAGATATATACAATTTAAGATTTAAAATAAGGAATTGTATAAATTATATCTATTGGTAAAGAATGAACCACTTAAGTTCAATGAGTTTTATTCGTCAATAACTCGCAACGATATCTATCAATAAGTAATAGAGCAATAGTAGCGATCGAATTTTATGTGGCTGTTTGTGCATGTGAAGAAGTAGACACGTCTCATCTATACACTCGTCTCAAGATAAATTCGTCTCATCTATACACAAATACTTTATCACCGATGACCTTTGCTTTGTAAGAGCTACTATCTATTCTGTCATGCTCTAAAAACATTTTTTCTCCATGTAATGCTTGCATTTCGTAATAACATGGATGACGTACTTCTGTCCTGTGCTCTTAAACCGAGATTTATTTTTCACTGATTATTATTATTTATGATAATTTATATGCGCATAACAGGTTTATTTTCAATTTCTTCTATATTCTCCTATACTGAGAAAAATGCTTAAAAATTGATTTGTGAAGTATAAATTATATTATAATAATAAAATATAAATATAAAATAATATATAAAATATATTATTTCTGTAAGATAAAATACATTTTTCTCTACGAAAATAAACTTTATTTCCCACAAATAAATGTTCAAGAATTCTTTTTTCAGTATGTATTCTCCTATGTTTTCTATGAAAATAAATTATATACTTTTGTGTTATAAATACTGATCTAAAGATCAGATCCAACTTTCAAGAATTGCATCATTTCCTGTTGTGTTAAAGGTACAATGGTCATCTTGCAACATATTCAGCACGCAAGACCACGCAGCTGCAGCCATAGCGAAGGCCGGAGTGCCGGTGTACGCGTGGAAAGGCGAGACCGACGATGAATACATCTGGTGCATCAAGCAAACCTTGGTGTTCCATGACGGCAAGCCGTTCAATTTGATTCTCGATGACGGCGGCGATCTGACCAATCTCGTTCACGTCAAGTATCCGCAATATCTCACAGAATGTCGGGGCATATCCGAGGAGACTACTACTGGAGTACACAATCTTTATCGCATGATGAAAGAAGGCATACTCAAAGTGCCAGCAATTAACGTCAACGATTCCGTCACGAAGGTTTGTGCAGGCTTATTCGAAATAAAAAAAAAAGATTTTTCAGGACTGACTAGAGTTAAGAATTGATAATAACTTTAGTATTTAATAATAATATAATGATTAATTCAATCGTTACATACGTTTTAATCGTTACACTCGATAGTTGTATAACTGAACTCGCACTTGTTTCCTGTAGAGCAAGTTCGACAATTTGTACGGCTGCAGAGAGTCACTGATCGACGGCATCAAGAGGGCGACCGATATCATGATCGCCGGCAAGGTATGCGTTGTAGCCGGTTACGGAGACGTTGGCAAAGGATGCGCGCAGAGTCTTCGAGCCCTTGGTGGTCGCGTCATCATCACGGAAATCGATCCTATTAACGCCTTACAAGCGGCTATGGAAGGATACGAGGTAGAATGTCCTACAGAAGATAGCGCGGAATCTATCGTAACCACAAAGTCGACTTTATATGATTTGTTGACCATCTTCTCAGGTAACGACGATGGAAGAAGCGTGCACCAAAGGCCAAATATATGTGACCACGACAGGCTGCAAAGATATCGTGTTAGGTCGACATTTCGTCAACATGCCAAACGATGCTATCGTTTGCAACATTGGCCACTTTGACTGCGAGATCGATGTCGCTTGGTTGCAGAAGAATGCTGTGGAGAAAGTCAACGTGAAGCCGCAGGTGGATCGATACAAACTGGAAAACGGCAGGTGTGTATGTTTGCGTTTGCATTATATATGTCTACATACTCGTGTGTACTCACGAAAAATCCTCAATATACTCCGAATCGTTCGATTCGAAGAACTTAAACCTGATCTATAATGTGCTCTTTTGTTTTTTTCTCTTTATTTCTTTTTCTGACTTAAACCTGAAAAAGATGGAGAACAAGAAACAAGAAGCAAAGAGCATATTGTAGATCAGGCTTTACTCTCCGAGTTAAGTTACTGTTCGAATACTAAAAAACTAGTAGAATTCAGTATTATACGTCACGTATATGATATGTGTATTTCAGGCACATTATTCTTCTCGCGGAAGGCCGTTTAGTGAACCTGGGCTGCGCGATGGGCCACTCAAGCTTCGTCATGAGCAACTCGTTCACGAATCAGGTACTGGCACAGATCGAGCTGTGGACCAAATCGGACCAATACTCGGTTGGTGTGCACATGCTGCCAAAGAAGTTAGACGAGGAGGTAGCGGCATTGCACTTAAACCACTTGGGTGTGAAACTCACGACTTTAACGCCAGAGCAGAGCAAGTACCTGGACGTACCTGTGGAAGGACCTTACAAACCTGATCATTACAGATACTAATCGCCGAAATTCGTGCGCGTGTACGAGGATTCACTGTTTATTCTAAGAGAATAAATTGTTTTCATTGTATATTACAATTGTATATTACAATTGCGTTCTATCGTATGTGTCGTAGATTTTTCTTCCGCATAACAACGCATCGGACAACGACGATTCATTGAGGAGTAACGTAGCCGTAGAAATTAAGAAGAACAAGAAACTCTTAGGAAGAAAAGCTAAAGTACAAATAACTTCGAAAAGTTGCGGCTGCGATATTTCTCATTGGCAACCCAAAATTATTTATAATCGTCGTTGTCTCTAATCTCGACATCTTGGCCGGTATTCATAGTCAAATCTTATATTTAACATCGCCTTAAGTTTACCTTCAGATACCTTCAGATACACCATAACCAATGAAATAAACTATATAGCAGCTAAAGATGAATTTAAGACGATCTTAAATATAAGAACCGACTATGAATACCAGCCCTTAAGATTAATCAGTTTTACTCGTCGATTATTTTGAAGCAATTCAAAACGGAAAGTCATCAACGATATAAAGAAGAATCAGAAATTTATTCTTCTCTCTCACAGTAACAACGCGATCACATGTGTGCATCACTACTATATACAATTATTTCACCTACATTACTTATATCTTAAACAATACCGAACTCCCCTGCAGACAATAACAACCGCAACCAGTCGGGCATAGCATCTCGTTGCTGAACCACGCGGCCAAGTGCTGAGTGTGCCCACCGTGGCCGCAGAGCATACAGAAGTTACTCAGACCTAGTTTTTCAAGAAAATCAAGCGACATTCAGTCTCGTGTCAAGTCAAAACTGAAATATCTACGTTAGGATTGATGAGAAAACACAAACCGTTTCGAAACCACAAAAGACTACATACCTCTAACCGCGATGTGACATATAACGCATTGGAAGCTCAGCCGCTTGCAGTTCGCGCATTGCGGACCACGACTAATCTTGTCGCAGATCTGACACTGGCACTGCAACTCGACGCCCTTGTGCGTGTCGAAAGGCGGCGCGCTCAGGTGCTTCAACACTTGCGCTCGGGCGTCCAACAACCGCCACCTGTGTAACACCTCGGCGTACGCCTTCTTGTAGCCGTCGTACAGTGCCGTGTATTTCTCATCGAGCAATCTGCGCAAGATATTTGATTTATTCTATACAAGAGTAACAGTTTAGCCAAGTAATTTTTTCAGAACAACAATTTAGTTCAAAACGAAGTTCTTGCTGTCTTTTTGTTACGTACTTGATGTTCTTCGCAGAGTCTCCAAACGTGTCCTGGATAACTTTCAAATCGTCCAGCGACTCCGACCACGAGTTGGAGCGATGCTGCTTCAGGTTCTGGAAATTCCAACCTTCCAGAGTAGAGTTCACCAGATGTATAGTGTGATAAGGCGAACCGCCAGGCTGTAAGAAAATATCACATTGAATTAAATTTGTCTAACTCTTGTCACAATTCACGTGTTAAATATGTTAATATTAAACGCAGCATTTATTAGTGCGACGAAATTGATCTGTTGAAGAAGGTTTCCTGCAACTCGTGAGCATAGTTTTAACGATAATTTCCTCGTGCTACATTTTCCGATGATGGAAATGACGTGAGAAGCATCGTTATCAATTCGCATTTTCCTATTGTTTGCTGGGAAAGAATCGACTTAAATTTTAGCCAGGAATATCAGATTAAACTCGTTGAAATGGAGGTTACGAGTTACCGGAACATATGTACATCTAACCAGACGACTTGACGCAAATGACAATTATTTGCTACGAAGTATACGCGCAATCAATTCACGTGAAACAACACACATATCATACCATCAACTGTGTGGGACTTACTATAAAAAATATACATGTTATTTTTATTTTTTCTCGCACATTACACACAATGCACACATACACGCACACACACTGATACAAGATACAATTAACGAATACAAAATATACTGCATGTCAGATGAAAAAGCGACACAACTCAAGAAAATGTAATTTTTCGGAAAAAAGTGCATCTTCTCATCATGTTGACTCAAATTCGTCGCTTTTTGCGTCACTATTTCGTGTGACGTGCGATACGTGTCAATGTTTTAATCAGGCGTGATTAAATCCGCACTTTTAGTGGCATAGTGACGCTTCCAGTCCGATGCTGAGAGGCGAATGCAAGATATTGAACGATAATGTGGAGAGTCCTAAGAACCAATATACAAATATACCCAAAAACACGTGCACTTCTCACGTTTCAACGGAATTCGAAGATCTTACCTTTAACCACCATTTTCCTGTGGAAAGCCTCTATAACAAACGTAATATTGTATCAGATGTCAGTCGATATTAGTTGTGATGTGTATGTACAATTACATGACATAATTAAAGGATACGCCGGTACAGTATAATGGATTGTGTATTATGAGGTATGTAACGTGTGACGTTCTGCAAAAATTTCCAGTCGTTGCGTGTGGTTCTTAAGATTCTCCTCTCGAAAGTTGACTGATAGTTTCGTTCAAGCGATTATAATGTACGACACGTTCCACTGATCTATCGTTCACAATCGAATATGCGTATACACTATACCGTCGTATTTATTTAGACATCACACACATTATGTGAAACGTTATTGCGTATTCTCTCGTGCATCGGAAGAAAGAGACACACGCTGTGCATGAAAGATCGAAGATTCAGAGACGTTTAAACTATGAAATTCGTAAGATAGAAAACTTCATGGTCTTCCTGTCGGTTTTAGCGAAGAGTAGTGCTAACGCACTCTCAGCTATGTTAAGAGAAATTATTTAACTAGATCCGCTCTCTTAGAGCTTTTTCTTACATACTTACACTAACGTTTACGGATTTGCTGATCAGCCGGGTTTGCGCGGCGTCTGTGTTCTCGGATCTGTAGCTAAACGCGCAGCTCAACATGCCTGCCATTTGAATGTCCGATTGATTGGCGTAATGTTGTATTCTAAACAAAAAATTATTATTAATATAATTAATATAATAATCAATCGAAATTAGACAAAGCAATCTGTATGAAAAAGAGCATATAGGTCAGAATTTTTATATTTAAAATAATTGAGAATAATTTTAACAAGCTTATTATGACTCACAATGAATGAATGACGTTCTGGCCGAACGGATGCAGAGGCCACGGAGCGTCGATATTGGGAACTTGGCACGAGTTCTGTCCGATGTTTGAGATCGGCTGCGAAATGACTAGGGCGGCGAGATACCAAGCTTGAACCAAGTCGGATCGTTCCAACGAGGCAGCCACATTCGCGTTATACTGACACATAGCCGGGATATCCGTGATATTGATTCTAAAAGGAAAGAAAATATTCTTTCTTTTAGATTCTTCTTAAGTTTGTATACAGTCGCACGCAATCGTGCATACTCACATGTATTTCTCAGCGAGCTCCTTGTTAACGAAAAATAAGGACGAGGCGTCGTATATCGTGACCATTGGGTGATAATTTTTGTAATCGGACCTATCGTGCATCCTGCTCGCGCCGTGCAATCCTCGTCGCATACCTTTTTGCTAATATCATACAATCATATTATGCAATTGATATATTATATTAACATATTAATCAGTTCCTTCTTTTCCCCAAAGACTACGATATCGCAAACAGCTTAACAATGATGCAGAATAATTTTGACTTCGATTCACATCACTTTTGCGATGTGTATCAATTCACACTTACACGGTCTTGGAAATAGTACGAGCTGATGGACATGTTGTCGTTGCTCGATACATAAGAGTTTCGGTACATGTGCATGAAAGGTTCGCCATTGCTAATGCCACCTCCTAAAGCGGACAACGCTCTGGGCGTAGTGCCTCCTGCTTTCAAAATGTTGGACGATCTCTTCGCGTACGAAGGACGGCCGAAACAAACGAGTATACCTGTCCAATTGACAGAGAAATAATTAACAAATTAGAATTACTACAAATTAATAATTAGCAAATAAGAGTTGCTACAAATTAATAATTAGCAAATTAGGATTATTACAAGTTAATAGTCAGCAAATTAGTATTGTTACAGATTAATAATTAACAAATCAGATCTACTACAAGTTAATAATTAACAGATTAAAAATATCAAGTATACGAATAAGTATATGAATACACATGCACAACTATCACACCACTGAACAGCGAATAACATTATTACGACCATTGTGGATCTTGTTCTATAAAAATTCTGACGTATAACGCACCTACGCAACAAAACTTGGCGCCGGACGTCCTGGGGAACGGTATATAGGAGTCCTGATAATTCGAGCAGATATTGGTCGAGCTAAGAAAGTTCGCGTTGTCCTGTATGTGATACGCCAGCCGACTCTCATCCTCGTCATTCTTACATGTCTATAACGAATACAAGAATTTAAACTAGACTCGAGCGTTTGTGTCAATGTTGAGGAAGTAACGTACTCACTTGCTCCAGAGTTATGATCAGCTGCCTGAGACACGGCTCCAAACACGATCGGTTTTTCCTGACGCGCTGTTGAGCGGTTTGCGTGAGGACCTTCAGCAGTTTCGTCATGGTCGCATTGTCGATGGACGTTCCAGGACAGAATTGGAAAGTTGGCTGAGCGCTATACGGATAGTTCACCGGGAAGTTCACTTTTAATATCACATTGTAGTTCTTTGTACACGCGGTAATTGTGCAACTCCTCTCCGTCGCGTCCATCGCGTTCACCTGAGTCAGAGTGCGAATGTTCATTGGTTTTTGTGTGAAAAAGGTTTTAGTCTCGCCGATGAAGAGCACGCTGTGCGTAAAGATATTACCTCTATATTTGGTATGTTCATATTTATCAAAGAGAACTCTTGCTGCAAACTCTTTGGCTGAGTGGGCGACGAGACTTCTTTGGAATTGTCCGGAAGGTTAATTGTTTCCGAGTGCGGTACAGGCTCGTCCACCTTCGTCGTTATGTAGTTGATCTCGGGCGCGCTCTGCGAACCGTTAAGCTGCAGTTCTTGAGTGGATTGTAGAGTCCCTGCAAAAACAAGAATACTCGTTAGAACATACACTTTAGAGCTTCATCGCGGTATGTTCTCTTCTTTGTCGTAGTCCAGGATTCCACATTACATACTTAAATTATTCTCTTCGGAATACTGAGAGTAAACCGATATGTTGTCGTCAATTCCATTCCCGCACAACTGGAAACGGAGAGGAACATCTCTGTTAATTGATAATAATTGCCTCTAATGCTCGAAAAGCGTAGAAGATGAAGAAATATATGTTATTACCTTTTTTAAGAAAGGATCAATCTTAAATATCCTCAGACATTGATCCTTGGACCATGTGATGAGTTCAAAGTCGTTGTTTTCTATGAGCGTAAACGGATAAGATTGTAACGAGATATTTTGCGCTTTAGATAAGAAAGATATTTTCCAAACGGTGCAACAATGATACTACCTAGTCTCGGATGTCGCCATTGAAATTCAAGCACGACATCCGTGTGCCCCGCAAACGTATATATCGGGGCACTGAGATTCGACATGTTCCACAGCAACAAACTGTTCTCTCCTCGTCGTAATTGTGGCACTACTATGGTCACTAGAGCATCCCCAAAAGGCTGCAAAAAGGACATATTAAAATAATACAATGCACTTATACATATACACACATGATTACACATGATTACACATGATATACACACATGACATATAAATACATGATTCTTAAATATATATTCTCCTTACCGTGTATCTCGCTCTCCACACAGGGGAATTTGTTGTCAAGATACCCTCGGCTCTGCGCGGATTGGCTATGTCGAAGATTTTGACGGTACAGTCTTGGCTTGACGTCGCCAACTGATTGTGTTGAAAGGGACACCAGTCTAAACCATGTATCTGAAAGAATAATAAAAAATAAACATGTAAATAACTAGTGAGCTATATGAATTTAATATTATATAGGAAACAAAGAACACTTAATCTAACAAAGATGCATACCTTTGTTAAATGAGCTGTGATATACTGCACAGGACTATTTCCTTTCCGCTGGTCCCATATCTTCACATCACCGTCATGCGCTGTAGCCAAGGTATGTGGAGATAAAGCGTTCCAACGCACTTGAGATGATCCAGCTGCAAGGAAAATAATGCAGACAATTTTTAGTTTTTATTTACTTTTAATTAAAGGAAACCATTATTCATGAAAGTCTGATCAATATGCATCTTACCAACTGCAGACAAAGACAAACATGGCTTTCTCTGATCTCGTATGTCCCAGATATGTATGAATGTGTCTATGCTGCAAGAAGCAATAAGGTCAGGTTCTTTAGGATGCCAATTTAGATCACTAATGACACGTGTGTGTGCCTTTAAACTCTGTGTAGTTTGTAATTCATATCCTCCTGCACCGGTGAAACTTAATATCTCAACTCGTGAATTGCTCTGAAACAAAAAAGAATGTTATTTCAGAATATAATAACAGTAAACATATGTACAACAGTATACATGTATACTATATGTATACAAGTATGTACAAGATATTATACTATATGTATTATTTTTTTAACAACACAGCTTTAGATACAAATATTCTTACAGATATTGCACACAAGTGGCTATTCAGATCGCATGGATTCCATTCTGCGGAGCCAACTTCGTACTTGCTTTGCCGTTGAAATTTCTTCAATGTATTCATATCCTCGTCCAAACATTTGACTGCAAAGTACCTACGTCTGCAGGTAATATCAATAATGAATTAATTTCAATAGCATGAGTACAGTTTCCCAACTTAATCTTTGCTAATGACAATTGGAAATATTGCAAGTATTTCAATGTCAATTCAATTACTTACCCGGCTAATAAAACATAATTGCCGGTCGCGTCCACAGCCATGGTGCTAGCCTAAATACGACGATAAAACGATAAACATAAACGTTCGTATTCTCCTTTTTTGCTTCGACAATACAGTCGACTTGTTTTTCCAACACAAGAAAATAACTTTCTATCGACCAACCTGTAAATCACGATGCTCCGCCGTGACCACATAGTCGCTGTTCCAACGTTTGGACATCTCTCAACAATGAACACCGACCATTCCTGTTAGCATTCTGTGTCAATTCTGCACTGAGCACGAGGTTAAGATTCTGTCAAACGTACACGACACGACAAATCACACATATAAACTGAAGTGCTTCGAGATTTTTCGTTTAGAGCACAGATGTGTATGAGCGCGCCATCTTTAGGTCAAGTCCCTAACTACCTAGCTCTAACTCGCGCGGGAACCTAGAGATGGCGCGCTCATCAATGTTCGATTTCTTTGCTATTCTGGAAACCTGTGAGCACATATGAGAAAAAGAAGAATAAGCGTAAGCTGTCATTGAAATCGGAGCACACATCAGCCTTACCTCAAATACGAAATCGTAAATAGTTTATTTGAGAGAAAAATATGCTTGATCTTCCTCTTCTTTCAGACGACGAAAATCCCGCTTACAACTGCGCATGCGCGTGTGCTGCAGCGCGTCACTTACACACAGAGCATGCATCTGACGTAACGCGATTGGCTATGAGCTCGCGCGTGCATCCTCCCTTTACCGAGCGAGCGAGACGGAGAGAGATCGAGACGCGCGAGCAAGCGAGAAGACGATAGGGGCTCGTGACTTCGCGTTCCTATTTCTGCATGTAGCGACGCTCTTGTACGCATGTGTACCCCACACACACACGCACCATACGAATACGTATACGTCCACGATCGCGTGTGTACATCGTGTATATATACCGTTGCGCACATACACGTATACGCGCGCGTACGCGGTGAACGCAACTGACATCGAGTCGTAATTAGTTGGTAAACTGGTCGGATTCGCGCGCGAGTACAGTAGGATTTACAGACGAGATCAGCGACGATCGGTGTGTGGTGTGTAGCCTAGCTAGCCGCGGCAGCGAATTGATCTCGACAGTGACCGTGATACTACGTCGCAGTGGAACACAATGTCCGTGATTATGGATTGTTATCGTCAATAGCGGGCGCTACGCGTTGAAGTTCTCCCTATCTTTCTGTGTCCGCGCGCGAGCACTTTTCTCCCACGAAGGAGAAAGAGTTGACGTCTGTACGATCCTCGTCGATCGGTGGAGTGTCGCGAGACCGTCGTGATATCATTCTGACACGAAGCTCGCGTCTGTTTTCGTATAACGCGCGCGGCTTTTGCCGAAGACAGTAGTAGGAAAATCCGAGCAGACAAGCGAGCGCCCCGTTGTTTCTATTCTTCTTGTTCGCGTTCTTTCTCTCTCTATCTTTATCTCTCTTTACCTCTTTGTCCATTGTGTCTCTCTCTCTCTCTCTCTTTCTCTCTTTCTCTCTCCCTTGTCTGTCCCTCCCTGCCTCCCCACCACTTTGAGCGTACAGCCCGTTCGTCTCGCTCCATCACGGTTGACTGTACGGCGACGAACTTGGTCACTTGCGTGTCCTCATAGCAGAGAGTGCAAGCGTGAACGTCGTTTTCCATCGCTTACTCGTTGACTGGACTCGCTCTCCCCCAAATCCTTAACTAGCGATCTGTGATGTGCAAGCACAGCGACGCCGGGAAGACTACAACGTCGACGATCAACCTCGTGCACTCGAAGAGGAAAGGAATTTTCATACGCATAAAAGAGATGCCCAACGACTTGATAAGTCTTCGAAGTCGAAGAAGCTATCTAACGTTTCGCTTCTACTGAACGAACTTGGCCGTGCGACTGAGAAACCAGGTCAAGATTTGCCTTGAACGGCTCGATTAATAACCAGGCCCCGAGGCCGCTGAAAATGCCAGCGTCGTCGACGTGAACGGCGGTCAAGACCGTCCAGGGGTTACGACATCGACGAACGACCGTTGGCTGGTTCACAGAGCTGCTATCAAGTTTTCCGTAATCAGGACGATCGGTGAATCTTATCGTCACGATGAAACTGCTGGAGAGCACCCGTTTTGAAGCTATCAACAGTGCTTTGTCCATCAAGACCGGTGACAGCAAGATAATTGGGAGGTGAGTCGGAGGGGATTGGCGCTTATCAGAGTTTTATCAAAATCAGAGAGCTTATCAGGAAGTATCCTCTTGCACTTTAATTGACACTTGTATTTGTACTTACTGATATATTGTGATATATATACATTATGATTCATTTAATGTTAGATTCTAAAATATCTTTTGTTTTCTCATATGAGAGGAAAATTTATAAGGAATTGTGTGATTGGAAAAGTTGGTTTGTCACAATATTCGCATCCTTTTCAACCACACGATTTATTCTTTTTTGTGTTTTCTTTTGATATAAAAACAACATTTTAGAATCTGATATTAAGTGATTTAACCAGTATATGCTGATACACATATATTTATTGATATTTATATTTATATTTATTGACACTTGTGTTTGTAGGATTGAAAGTTATTCTTGCAAGATGGCAGGCAACGACAAACAGATGTATAAGCGATTCAATTCTGAGCAAGGAGTGACACCACATGACTTGCAAGCTTTATCACCACCACAGACGTCCTTAGGCACGTCTCCGGCTCAGGGATACTTGAGGTAATGTTGGACACCTGAGTCTTTTATACTCTGTGCAATGTCAAAACATTACATCTAATTGTCTCCTTAGGCCCAGTTGCACTAATCAAATGGTAAGCTAACGATCATGTTAAGCTAACAAACATGTGTTTGTCTTCATTTTGATAGAAAAACAAAGACATTTAACTTTTTACTTGCTTTCAGGCAACATCAATTTCTCATGAACTGTTCAAGAACGATAGATACAGGATGCATTTATTTAGGTCTGGAGCAACATTTAGTTATCTGTTTTGCCCTGTTTTAATGAGTCTCAGTGATTTTCAAATGATATTTTGAAAACATTATTCAAGAGACATCAATTTAAGCATTCAAAAGTTTTTTCTTTAAAACTTTTTGAGTCTGCTAAGTAAAGGGTTAACTGTTAGCTTACCAAGAGATCGGTACAATTGATTTTCTCACTAGTTTGCTCTTGTAAATAAGACATTTGTTGAGTACACTCATATCTCTATATATGCGTTTCTCACTTGCTGTACAGTCGCAGCGTCTCTGGTGACGAAGATGGTCCGTTGTGCGACACCATTAGCAGGAAGACGTTATTTTATTTGATTGCCACATTAAATTCGGCCTTCCACCCGGATTACGACTTCTCAGATGCCAAAAGCCACGAGTTCAGTAAGGAGCCGAGCCTGCAGTGGGTGACCAACGCGGTCGATGGCAATCTCAGCGCCACCGCGGGCGATCACTATCGCACGCTTCGTTCCGCCTTATGGGCGGCTGTGGACGACGAGATATCGTTGCACGAGTGTGATATTTACAGGTGAGCATTCGCTGCGTGGCAAGAAAGAAACATGAGATCTTGTACGTAGGCTCTAGCTCTAAAATGTACTTTATTGATGAAAGTTCTTCTAAATGTGTTTACAAATCAATCAGAAGGTTTATGTGAGTCACATTTATGTAGAAGTATTTTTATAAGAAATAAAAGAATTTACATAATAAGTAGTGTTGGACACAATGAAGTTAGGATCTAAGTAAAATTAAGAGTCACTGTTGACGACGAGCTTACGCAGTAATTATATTATCAATTATTATTAATTATATCATTAATTATTATCATAGCGTAAACCCGTCGGTAATAGTTCGCAATGTTCAGTGAACTCCCAATTTCAATGTGTCTAAACTAACCGACTATAGTCTATATTTTACTCAGAATATGAATATGAATTTAAGGATATGGAATAATATTTTACCAAATTTTTATAGTTACAATCCGGATTTCGCATCAGATCCATTCGGAGAGGATGGCTGTCTGTGGTCCTTCAATTACTTCTTCTACAACAAAAAGCTGAAGCGTATCGTTTTTTTCACATGCAGGGCGATAAAGTGAGTTTATCTTTCTTCTGGAGAAAACACGACAGTTTATATGTTTCGCGTATACCAAGTAGTGTACTTTAGCCTTAACGGTATATGAAAATTATACCATTTTAGAGTACGATATATTTCTTAAAGAAGAGGCTATTTTTTAAGTGATGTAATTTCATGTAATTTCACCAAGGATATTGTCAGACTGTTTCTGACTTTATTCTTCTCTCTTTTCCAGCCCTCTCTATGTACTGGATTCCGGCGTTGGTAGTGATTTCGCCATGGACGAAGATGATGAGGATCGATACTAAGCTATACATATACACATAACACACGCAAGCACGCACATTGCAATACTTGCAAATTTATGTCCCAATTTCCTCTACTCCTGCGATCGCAATTAAATATCTGTTTATTCTTGGCTGTTATGTAACTTTGAATCTTGGTACATGACCTTGTTATTTCTCATCTAATATACATATAGTCAAATTGGTCTGATATTACTTTAGAATTTGTTTTGTGTCAAATTACTAATAGTCACTTACTGTGAGAGTTTTTTGAGAGGATACAAATCTGTAGATACTTAAGCGCTGTCGAATCTTCAATATCTGTAACAAGATGTAACAAAATATCGTATAAGATAAACATTCATTTGTGTTAAAAGAATTTTTGTATATATGCAGTTACAATTGCATATGTACACATACATATATACAAGTACATTGTATACCACATTTACGAGAATCTTATAAATTACTTAGAATAAACCATAAAGATTTTTCTGTCCTTTTGTGAAGTAATTGATTATGTTATCATAACCTAATGTTTAAGAATGTATTTTGAAGGCGAATTGTACGTAATAAAATTCAATGCTACTAAATGTGTGTATGTGTAGAAGCAGTTTTTTTAAACAAAATTTATGATAATTGATATTCCCGATTTTAATATTTAATTTACATTCTCTCAATAACTAGCTTGGAAACCTATTAAAGTCTATTCTCCAATGCTCTCTATTGCACTGCTTTATAATTAATTTTGAAATTAAATGAGTACAAGTAATATAAAAAATGTATACCAGGCAAATATACTATTTAATATTTGGCAATGCCAGTTCCGAGTTAACAGATAAATAAATATGTTCTTAGAAAATAGTTTTAAGATATTTCCTAAAAAAATCTTATTTTGCATTGATAAATTATTACTTTGTATCTAACAATTTGACAGTTGTGAGACATATATATACAGGGTGTCCCGGATCACCTTTACAATGGCTGCGTTCAGCAGAGAAAGCTACTTTGCAACTGTTGTAAAATTCTTGAATCTAATTGGAGCATGCTCTTAATTTTGGTTGAATCCAAGAAGGTATAGGACTTTTGTGTTCATTTCAATCCGCTCTACTTCCTCACGAGAGATTGCGAAGGTGATCCGGGACACCCTGTATATATATATGTCTATTTTCGGTTTCAGGGTGTAAACCATGCAGCGGAATAGCGGAGCGCGCAATCCATCATGAACGGAAGGAATCACGAGCGAAAACTGTGGAACGCTCGTGATTGGTTCCACTCTCGTTCGCGCTCCGCTATTCCGCTGCATGGGTTTGCACCCTCACTCTGCAGATGTAGTGCATGTAGTACATGAGTGCTCTTCCTCAATGAATCGAGATGTTCCATTGGCTGCGTATTATCTGAAGATGGCTGCGTTCCAAAATTCACTGCCAATACTGAAAAATCTATAGTTTATGTCACGTATATTATAAAATTTCAGCACTGGCAGTGAATTTCGGAACGCAGCCAACATCATCGTTGCATCGTTCTCACTAGAATTACTCTAATGGAGGATTCACACCGCGTCCGATGTCCGACGTCCGATATCCAATAGGAGAACAGCTTTCCAATGGAGAATTGAATTCTTTATTAGAAAACTATTCTCTTATTGGATATCGGATATTGGACGCAATGTGAATCTTGCATAAGGCATGAAGTCCCATGGCATGTATTTTCGCGTACGCGTAAATGCGTAACCAATAAATTGCGACGTTTAGTATTTCTGTTGGAACTTCTAAAAGAATAGAAAGATGTGATTGGTTACGCGCTTACGCGTTACGCGAAAATACGTGACATGGAACTCCACTCTAAGCACAGAGTTTGGTCACGACCGCGGTTTTGTCACAATCCTGCGAGAGAAAAGGATAATATTTTCAATCTTTCTCTGTCTATTTCTCCTTAACCTAACCTAATCTGTTGCAATAGGAGTACTGTGATTGGATACTGTGTGGAATTTGATAAAACATGAACCAATCAAAAGTCGCTTCCTCATGGACCAATCAAAACTTGCTTCTTCGTGGTCAAACTTTGCTTATAGCATGTTCGACTGGCTCTGGGTTAACACACTCTGGGTTATTCAGTCTGTTTATTGGTCGAACAAGTACTTATGAGCTTTATGATTGGCTAGTAGAGACTTAGACGTCATTAATCGCTCTCGGAGCGATTAACCCAGGGCCAGTCGGACACGCTATTAGAGTAACTCCAGTTCTCACGTATTTCATCTTTGTTCCATGCAATCTCAGTTAAAAAGAACTACTAACCTAAGATTAAACAGAAGTTGTGACAGGAGCAGGATTGAACGAATGCCCTCTCGCAGTCGACGTTCTTAGGTTAAATAGACCCTTTCTAGAGATTCAACATGTTCAAATTCCTGGTAAATAATTGTAGATATATACTGCAATTTGCACATAATTTTGCATCATATTAAAATTATAATGTTACAGATCAGTCTAGGTATTGGAGTGTATGCTGGAATATATTTAGCACAAAATTACGAGGTATGCCGTACAAGCGATAAGATTGCATCTCTAATTTATTATCTATATTTAGATAAATCTTTTAATGAATGTATTAATTTTAGATGTGTATAATAACGTTGGCTACATGTTCTTTTTATAAATAGCCATAATACTTAAATTACTCACAAAGCTTGCATGGTTTTTCCACCACTTATAAAATTTACCATTTATAAAATTTATAAAATTATAAATTATGCAACATTATGTGCAATTTTCTGTATCATTTCCTATAGAACTAATATATTTCCTTTGTAGGTGCCACGTGTGGATGAACCATCCAAACTGTATCATCGAATACTTGAGTTTCTAGAAGAACACAAAAAGAAGCCATGATCTTTTGTCCTGCGCAACTGCTTCCAGTGCTGAAGAGCACGAAGAGAAAACAGAAAGGGAACGAATGTCCTATTGTCGATACAGTGTGTATGATACTTAGCTCCAAGAAGTACTGTTAGATCTACCTGTGCAGATATATGTGTCTGTATGTGAGAATGCATCCTTGTACAAGATAATGTATATATATAATCATATGTCATGTACAAAAATAGATACGTTAATTTTTCCATATCTTTATTTTAATAAACGATATTTAAGTGGTACGTATGTCCTTGATCACGCACAGTTTATGACCTAGCTAAATAACTCACGACTGTACTTTTGTCGAATGTATATGTGCACTTGTTATGTTTTTTCGACAAATCTGTCGAACGATTACACGCATCAAATATACATAAAACCACCGCCGGAATACTCCACTCGTACCTGCGGCTCCACGAACGCCAGCCAGTCGGACGCGTGTGTTGGTAGCAGACCCATCGACTGACACTTGTACAGCGCCAACGCGATGTTGACTAACTGCCCTAAGAAGTATACGAATTTCTGGCCGAACGCGTGCGTGCCCTCGATCACTTTAAACGCTGTGGAATAAAAGACGCACAATTATGAGTAACTACAAGTTGTTCACACTCAACAGTTTCAAACAGAATTGATGCGTATGTTACGATACTCCACTATGTATGATATTTTATCTATACAGATGATGAGCAATTTATGGATGTTGTTTAAAAAACGTATGGTTTGATCAACAATTAAGGAAAAGTTTATATTTTTATTTAACTTTTAAAATCCTGATATAAATTTATGAATATTGTTTCCTAGATAAATTAGAAAGTCCAAAGAATTCTCTGATAATATTCTTACCTTCAAAGTTTAATTTACCAATTTATCACATAATGAGATGAAAGTTTTATGCAATTTATTTTTTTTTTGTACATTTTATTTAAAAAATACTGCCCAAACAAATATTAAAATTATTTCATAAGTTAACTGTTCATATATGTTTCTATATATTTTAATACAATTTACAATATTCTATATAGCTTATAATTTATATATGAAAACCAAGTGTAGTTTCAAGTACTCACTCTGCTGTAGCGTGAATAATCCCTTGACTGGCCTGATGATAAGCATGCAGACCATCATGATGGGAAAGATTGAGATGGAATTTCCAGCCATATACATGATAAACAGGTTCATGGGCACTTGTTTAAGTGGACCCAATGCCAGGTCCCAGGACTTCTTCATTATTAGATGATTGGGATCAGTCTCTCTCATGTATTCGACATTGTGAAAAAGAGAACCTGTGGTATATCCTGGTGGAGATGGTATCTCTGTATTTTTGTCTTGTTTAGTTCTGCAAAAAATTGTGAAAATAAACTTAATGGCGTTGACAAAAAAAAGGGATACTTGATTATTATTAACTATTAATTAAATACATGAGAGAGGAAGAGAGAAATAAGAAAAAGAGAGAGGTTTGCAGAAATCATAAGATGCAAAAGAAGCAGTTAAAGAGGCGTTGAGTGGAACAATATAATATACAAAAACGAACAGTGGATGTAAAGTCAGTGCATAAAAAGTTTTGCCTCGACGTGTCCTTCCATCTCATTTGTCAAATTTGTATTGAAAGGTTACGTACTTGTGGGCAAAGTCCAAGGCCCATTTCGAACGCTTGGAACTCTGCTTGGAGTTCACTGTCATCGTCATTGAAGTAATTCGTGCTGATAACCCGTATTCGTACCTCTTACAATAAATAATAATGATAAATGACGCTAGACAATGCGTACGATCGGTAATGTTTGGTGATTACTAGAGCAGAATATGTCAAATCAGGAACAGAGATTAACCTGACAACGATCCTGTGTGCTTCTTGCGACGATCTTTTTCGATACGCCCTCTGAAGGAGTGGATGTAAAACATATTGAAAATGTACAACTCCTTGGTATCGTCGGTCAAGTCGTTCGGGCTATAATTAAACGTATGAAGACAAAATAATTGATATTTAATAAATTATATTTTCTCCTTTTATATAAATAAAGAACTCAAATTATAACTATAATCTCCTTCAATTAGCTATTGTACATAAAAATTGTTCCTTTTGAACCAGCATTAATTAATGATTGTAATACTGTAATTTAAATAATTGTAATACTGTAATTTTAATAATAATACTGCAACTTCTCAATATAATCGTAATTCTGATATAAAATATAAAAATATTTGTTACTTAAAGCAGGTCTTAATTTTTATACAAGCACTCAACGTCTCTGCGATTACAAGATTAGAAAAGCAATTTGACAATCCATAAATATCAAATACCGGTAGCAGAGAGCCGCATTTTTCCTTTTCGTTTCTCGCTTCAATTAACAGTCGAAATATACATAAGAATACACACACACGCACGCACGCACAGGGTGAATCTGATTTCCCGTCCTCATATTCTGCTTGTATGTCTGTGATTTCGGCAGTGTATTTTATTCTTATGTCGTCGTCCTCTTTAATACAAAATATGTACAGTAGCGATTAACAGTCGAAAACTACGAATCAAGGCTAATGGCAGTGTTTGTACCTGATACTTTTAACGATCTATCGGAACTCTTGGACAAACGTATCCGTTCCTCCGGCTTCAGGATCTCGGCTATGATCTTCTCGTCGCTGCGCCGGTCGGACGTCGCGGCCGCCGCGGCTGCTGCCGCAGCCGCCGCAGCTGCAGCCGCCGCCGCCGCAGCTGCGGCCACTGCTGCCGGTTGCACCATCATCTCCTGCGACTTCTTGCATCGATGCGACCCTGACGCGTTGCACGACTCGACGCTGGCCGAGGAGCCCTCCTCGGCTACCGACGCCAATTGCACAGTTTGTATCTCAGTCAGAGTGAGCCTCCCGTTGATCTTACCCTCTGCGAGACCAACGAACTGACGCGGGCTAGCCTCGGATGCAATAGGAACGGGTGACTGCGGTGGATTCTCCTCGGTACCGATCGGTATCTTCAGAATGCTGACTGGTTCCGCGTAAAGCTACAAGATGCAGATATGAATATTTCAAGTAACAATATCCTAATTTTACTTTATATTATATAATAACTTCCTGAATATAATAATATCATAATAATCAAATGAGTACAAATAATATAATAAATATAAAAAAGTTAACGTAATCTCTCTCTCTCTCTCTCTCTCTCTCTAAATACATATGATCTTTTGAATAAAAGCTTGCAAAACTAAGAGAAATTGTTTAAAAAAATATATATAAATTGAAATAGATTAAAGAGATAATCGGATAAGTGAATAATAAGAATAAAACTCACAGCCTCAAATGGAGAATCTAGAAATAATTCTTGCAAAAATCGCCGGGCTGGCATTCTATATGTACCGCTGCCCAGACGTGCAGCTACATCCGAAAATAAGCAGGTATCCTGTCGAAAAAGATACAAAGTCAAAAACATATGTTAATTTCCACTTTTCCGATATATTAACAAGAAGAAAGTATTTTTTTTCGAACACGTCGATATTTCCTAACAAATGGACAAGGACAAAAGATGCAACAATACCTGAAACTTTTCAGGGTAACGTTGCCTCAGTCTAAGTAACGCTTGACGACTATGACGATACCACACGGGGTTTGCAAGACGTTGAGTATGCCTAAGTATCTCCCTGAATATAAAACAATTTAGAGTGAAAATCCGCTTTCCTGATACACATCCTGACTGATATATACAGGGTGTCCCATTTTAAATTACGCACTTGAATATCTCGTCAGCCACCAATCCGAAAATAACCCGTACAAAAGTTGTTGGGTTCGGAGGGGGACATCGGATGGTGATCTTCAATTTCACCTTGACCTTGACGTTCAATGTCATTTGAAGGTCAAATCGAATTTTTAAATAGAAACCCCTATTTTTGACCCCGGATTCGGAAAGAACGCAAAATTTTACGTTTAGATGGGTACTTGAGGCTCTTCTTTGGAATGACCTTCAGAGGTTATTTCAAGGACAAAGTATTTGAAATTACGCACCTGAATACATATCTTGTCGGGGAGCCACCAATCCAAATAACCCTTACAAAAGTTGTTGGATTCGGAGGGGGACATCGGATGGTGACCTTCAATTTCACCTTAACCTTGACCTTCAAGGTCATTTTGAAGGTCAAATCAAATTTTTTAAATAGAAACTTTAAAGTTATGTTAAGAGTCGAAATGATCTTTAAAGATCATTTCAAGGTCGAATCGCTTACAAGTCTAGCATGACCTAAAAACCAAAATTGATCGTGGTTTGTTTTTTAAGATATTTGAATTAGTAGTCATTCGTATAAAATAAAATTGTTCACACCAGAGCCTGCGTTCAGCCATCGACATAATACATACATCGATCTAGTCTACCAGTCTTTCTATTTAAAAATTCGATTTGACCTTCAAATGACCTTGAAAGTCAAGGTGAAATTGAAAATCACCATCCGATGTCCTCCTTCGAACCCAACAACTTTTGTAAGGGTTATTTTCGAATTGGTGGCTTCCCTGACGAGATATTCAGGTGCGTAATTTAAAATGGAACACCCTATATATATATATATATATACACATATATATATATATATATATATATATATATATATATATATATATATTTATTATTACATCCTAAATTTTAAGCACAACCTAAATACAAGAGAGTAAGTCTGCGAAGAAATATTCTTGTCACCTTCGCAGCTTCACGTCCTGCTCCGTGGCGACGTCCCTGGCGCTGCTCCTGCTGTGGTAACAAACAAGACACGTGCGACAATGCTCGGTGTCCACGTCGTATTCCGAACTGGACTCCTCGTCGATCTCCGTTGTCTCCAGCTCGGTCCGGACAATGTCCTCGAAGATGTTCGGCTGCGTCGGTTGAGGGGGCTCAGGGAAGATTGTGATAAGCCTTCTGGGCAGGCAAATACCCATGTAAAACAGATTCTCGCTGTCGTCTTCTGACGGAGGTGGGGTCGGGGTGAGAATCGTGTTCTCCGCGATCCAGCTGCGGGAGTCAAGTTCCGACAGGCTTTGCAATGACAGCCGGCCGTCCAAACTATACATCTGCAAAGCAAACCACTTTTGAGCGTCTATGTTTCTCGTTATTGCCGAGTCGCTTGAGAATGGCGCTAAGTTACACTGACATGCTGCACCGAACTCTTCCTTGGACTTGATTTATAGTTCAATCTCAAGAACGAACTGTAAAAACGGTCTTAGGAACAATTCGAGGAAATTTTCCTGAGAAATAATTTGTCTCACGTACTTCTAAACTACTTTGGGAGTAACTCGGCCTACGATGACGTTGTAAACTACGTAGTCGCGCGTAACCTTCAGCGTCTTGTTGGCTTAATCTTTGTATACTCGAGACGGGACTGGGAGTCTCACCTCTTTCTCTGCGAAGAAAATATGAAAATTAAATGCACATGCAAGGAAAACAGAGAGAAAAGGACACATGAGTCTAAAGACATATAAAAGCATATGAAGATACACGAGTTTAAAGGCAACTCACGGAAGAACGTATCGCCGCGCCTCAAGGTCCGTCGCCGCACTCTCGGATCGATTTCTGGTGCGGCGTGCGATCGGTTCCGGCAACTCCGGCTTGCCGTCACTGAGACTACGATGATGCCGCTGTACGGGCACCGGGCTCGGCACCGGATACCTAGTGGTGGGCGGCACAACCGGCCAGTTATCACCCCGTCGATGCCTCACGCACGGCCAGTCGAAGGTGGCCAACGCGTCAGCACCAGCGCGAGTGGTGCCGATCAAGCTGAGAGCGTACATCGCGGTGGCGCGCACCGAGTAATACGGACAAGTCTCCGCCATGGAGGTGATCATCTCGACGATGCCTAAATGCACCAAGTGCTCGACACCGGCGACTGACGTGCCGGCGTGGCCTAACGCCCATAGAGCAGACTTGACTTTAAGAACGCCGCCGTTAGGGCCGACGGAGTGCTCGTCCCTCGACGCTTCGATCGTCTCTATCCTCCAGCTTCGCTCCGGGGTGGTATGTCGGGAATCGTCCATGCTAGTCTTGCGACGAGATTCGATGAGCGAACCATCAGTGCGCGGTTCGATCATCTCCGAATCAGGGATGGTCTCCAGACGGCTGCTGCTGCATTCTACAGCATCGTCCGCGCCACTGAACGCGTCTGCCGGCGTGAGAATGCTTTCGTCGGCGACCGTGCTGGTGGTTGCTGCAGCAGTGATAACGGTGGCAGTGGCGGTGGTAACGGTAGTAGCGGTCATGGCAGTGGTGATGGAGACAGCGGCGGCGGAGGTGGCCAGACGGCTTGTCCTGGTGGTCCTCGAATTATTGGACTCAGAGTCGCGGCCGCCACCAAATTCCAGCTTGAATCGCTGGAGCACCCGAGCGAAACGCTGTATCACGTTGCGGCGTAGCAACAGCTGCATGCCCAGATCATGCTGCGCCAATTGGCCGATCAGATGTGGCGGCGCGAAGGTGTCGCGCGGCACTATCGGCGAGCTGCTGGTCCTCCTTTGGTAGCTGCCAGTCTCGTCGCGTTGGCGACGCGTCAGAGCGTCGTGTATTTCACTCTCCACCAGGCCCACGTACCGTTCGGCGAAACTGCCAGGTCCGATCCACCGTTCCAATTCCTCCGCCGGCGCGGAAAGACTGGTGAAGCCTTGTTGCAGCGAGTACAGCCGAATCTTCAGCAGGTAACCCTTGTCGCCCAGATGCTGCAGCCACTTGTCCCAGTCGCGCGATTGTCCACCCTGCTGTAACATCGCCTCCAAGTATTCCGTTTCCTCGCAGGCTTCGTGCAGCGCGTCCAGTGCCGTCAACGCCACGGCCATCGACGCGTCGGATAATCGCTCCGCGAGCAACGACATCGCCCAACGCACAGCGTCTGTCATGCGCGCGCGTAGTATCAGTCGAAGGAACTGCGTGGCGTACAAGCGTGTGCTCGACAGCGTCGCCTCGGAGATGACTTTGCTGAGCACCTTCCTGTTGGGACCGTCTCGGGAGTAGTCCAGACTGGAGATAATCAACTTGACGTAACAGTCGTGATTAGTGACTAACGCGAGGTCCTGTAATTTCTCCAGGAGGCTGAAACTCTTGAGCACCACCGTGCCCTTGGCCGAATGGCTAAGCTGGCCGAGAAACAGGAAGTACTTCTGGCAACAGGTAGTGGACATGTGCCGCGGCGAGAAGAGACAGTCGTGCGCGGATTCGGCGGCGCGTATCTTAGTGATCTGTTCGGCCACGTCGCCGATCAGCTCGTTCAACAGTCGTGCGCCTTCCGGCTCGTGCAGCTCCAACAGGCAGTTGAGCAGATCGCAGCCGGCCAGGGTGGCCTCGCGCGCGAACGTCGCGCTCGTGCCAAGTTCGATTCTGCTGTATCCATTCCACGAGGGCTTGAAATAGCGCACGAGTCGCTTCATAAACAGCCGATGGTCGGAGTCGTGCAGGATGCGCGTCGCATCTTCGCGCGAGCGCAAGATCGCGCGGATCATCGGCCAATTCCACGCGAGCGCATCCTTCGAAATGAGCACCTGCGCGTCCTTCAGCAACGGAGTGATCGGCGATTCCCGGCCGATTCGCAGCCAATGTCGCCCGGAAGGTCGCTGGCGTCTAGGTAGAGTTGGTCGCAGCCAGGTGCCGCCTTGGAGAATCCGGTCGAGGAAGAGACTCGCTGGGGTCGGTCTGCGTCGCATCATGGTGTGCATTCGCTCGAGGATCGTCACCGCCGCGAGTGCCTGATGTCTACCGGCGCTCGCGTGCTCCAGCAGGTTCGGCAACGGCGGCGTCAGGTCGCAGACTTCGGACGGCAGGAGTGAATGCGCGAGATGCAGCAATGCGCCCAACAGTACCGCCGCACGCACCGAAATGAAAGTGTCGCTGGAGACGATGGTCTCCGCCAAGGCGCGGTGAAGGCCACATTCCAGCAGAACGTAAACTAACAGCGCCAGATGGATCTCCGTGATGTTGGGACAGTGTGACGACAAGGATGGTAAAATGAATTTACCTTCGGCGGCGACAAAGCCCTCGGAGAGCTTCCACGAGTCTCTCGATCGGCTGGGGTCCACTGCAGCCAAAGCGACGTCCGGCTCATCGGTCCACGTGGGCAATGGCAGGTCCAATAGTTCGTACAGTAACTCCAACACCGCTCCGCGTACCTCCAACTGCTCCACGTACAGGATATCGGCAATGGCTTTGAGGCCGGAATTGTTGTCGGGCTGACAGAAGTGGATAACGCCTGGGTACGAGCGCAGAATGCTCAGCAGAGCCAGCTTGCTGGCGGCGAATCTCTGTTCGCGCTCCTCCTTGGTTCTCTCGATGCTGGAGGAGTGCAGCTCGCAGTAAGACGCGGCGAAGCACAGCAGGGAGACGCTGCTGCGCGTGTCAGGATTGTTCAAGAGTCTCAGTAATACTCCCACGATGGACTCGACCACGACGGCGCTCTGTCCAGTCATCGCGGCCCTCGCCAGTGCGCCCACGCCGCCGCAACTAATCAGCAGATTCGAGTTAAGGACACCCAGTTCGCAGAGGGTCGCTAAGAACGCACGAAACGCCCGGTCTCGTTCCTCTATGCCGCTGTTGGTCAAACTAATGAGGGATCTTGCTAGAGTGGGGCTGAAATGCTTAGGGGCCAACACTAGGATCCGTCTGACGAGTCGAAGAGCCTGCATTCTCTCCATTTCATTGCGCAGATTGACGTCCATACTGCGCGCCAAGAAATACGGGTACTGCAGTCTGTTGATCGCGATGACGTCCTGCTCCTTCTTGAGCATGTAGCGTACAGCTCGCAACGCTGCAGCGCGCACCTGCGTCACCTCGTTCACCAGTGCCACGCGTAAGCTGGAAAAGAGAAATGGTCATTTGGTGATTAATAATAAAGCGTCTCATGCGATGTGCGCTTACATAATGAATCACTGACGATTCTTACCAACAAAACAGATCTTCTGCCGAGTATCCATAATCTTGGGAATCGGTTTCACTGATTAACTTAACAATAGCATTAAGGTAAGCTAATTTCTTTACACTTGGAACATTGTGACGCTGGCAGAGATTAGTCAAGACCTCCTTGACGTTCTCCTTTAATCCTACAAAATAAAGCAATTTTTCCTGTTTGCCAATTTGCAATGAAAGAAAGGGAAAATTGTCCCCATATCCTCAGACAGAAACAAGATATTCAGATAATGTGATATTTGATCTTATACACAGGATGATCAGAAGAATTTGTAATAGGAGAAATTAAATCAGAGATAATAACTGTCCCATGTATTCTCAGGCAAAAATAAGATATCTAGACAATGTGATATTTTGTGTTATATATAAAATGGCCAGAATTTGTAATAAAAAAATAGAGATATTTGTTCCATGCATTCCTAGGCAGAAAAAAGATACTCAGACAATATATTTTTGTCTTATAACATAATATGCATAAGATAATCAGAAGAAAAAGAACTGAACTGTTTGAGTCCAACTTTATGTAGCTTTAAATGTTTGGACGTTTCCTCTTTCTTCTTCTGATTACCTTTTACTCAAGAATACCTTCCAAATTCTCAAACAGCAACAGATCTGTATATCGTTTGATGTACATTGAAATATATTTGGATTTTCCATCTGTTAAAGCATTCATACAGTAGATTGGTTGTAAGGAAGGCGTGTCACAACGATTCTTGTGCGATAGCATACGTGGTGAGAGGATTAAATAAACGTAGAAGAATACGCGAGGCTACAAATGTCATCGACACACAGCGGCACCGACCGGAAGAGGGGCAGCGATCTCTCTCTCTCTCTCTCTTCGTGCTGACTGATAGGTTAGGTTACTAACCTCTAGACAAGTCGAGTTGCACGCAGTTGTCCTCGGCGTCTTGGCGGCCTGCAATCAGAAAGAGGCGAGGAGAGGTGCGTGAAGCGCGCGAAACCGCTAATGTTGCGCACTCGCGTGCGAATTTCTACAATAACAAAGTATCGTCACCACGCACTTCGGTGAGATCGGCCGGTTCGCAGACTTCTACCCCACATCACCCAACTCGAGATTGCCATTGTCCGCCGGCACGTCGCGTCGCGCCGTGCCGTGCCGTGATGAGAGTTTGGTCGGTCGGTATCCGGAGAATCCGCGATCCTCTCCTCAATCACTTCCTCTCGGGCACACCGCACTGCGCGAGGTCGCGAGGTTGCTCCTGCCCGACGACGCTCCTCTCTCGGTGCGTGTGTGGTTATCGCGCGTCGCCCGCGCGTCGTGATGTGTCATTTTCGGCCACGAGCGGGAGTACCGAGCGACCGAGCAAACGAGCACGAAACATCACGAATGCATGCGCGCGTCCGGAGAGAAATCCGTGAGAGCGCGACCACGCCGGCGTTTTTCGTGATGGTAATACCGCTACGGACGATCTCTCCCGCACGTCATCCGCGCCATTTTCCAACCGAAACTACTTCACCGTTGCGCCATCGGTCAAATCGTCATTTGGTTCATGTCCATGCTACACCAGTTCCGCAGTGTAACACGGACTGTAGGTCTGTTCTTTCGTCTGTACTGCTGCACTGGTACAATAACAGCATATTCGACTGTCTCTGGGTTAACTCACTCTGGGTTATTCAGCCCATGTTTATTGGTCGAACATACTTATAAGCTTTATAATTGGCTAGTAGAGATTTATGACATTAATCGCTCTTGGAGCGATTATAACTCACTAACCAATCACAGTCGCTGATTTTTCTTACGGTCCAAGAATCAATGACTGTGATTGGTCAATTTGCTTACTACTTACGTCTTAAGGCCCTCACACATGAAATTACATAACTGCATGTGCGTAGCATAAGACTGTATGGACCAATGAGCATCGAATATTGAGCATCAAGCATCAATATGGCGGCTAAATATATCATTTCATGTATAAGGGCCCTTACTGCTTAAGTTTTTCTGTGTACTACGGCCTTTATTTTCTGGAACATTTATAAAATATTTTCGACATATTTGTACGCGAAAGGAGGCTCGTCGAACACGGGAGCGGTGCACTTGGACACGGTGCATTTGGACACAGCCAATCACAGCACCGTATGATTAGAGACATTTGTAGGGTCCCTTGGAACAGCGACTTGTGATTGGACTGTGTCCAATTGCCCCGTATCCAACTGATATACACCCGTCGAACACTCTACAGTTGGTCCCCAAGGAAGCACGTTTCTTCCTGCGGTGCTGGTTTTAAGAAAATCATTATAACGTTACATACAAGTATGACCTTTAATATTATTCGTTCAAAATTCATATAGAATAGCATCACGCGTGTTAAACAATATCTGCTATTTTATAAGAATTTTGTCTTTAATATTACTTTAGATTGGTGATATTGTTTAACACGTGGTGCTATTCCATAAGAATTTTAAATTTAATATTACTTTAGATCAGTGATATTATTTAACACATGGTGGTATTCCATAAGAATTTTGTCTCTAATATTATTTTAGATTGGTGATATTGTTTAAAACATGATACTATTCCATAAGAATTTTGTCTTTAATATTATATTTATTTAAGATGGATGGTGAAGAAGAAATTTCTGATTTCCTCTCAGAGGGAGAAATAGATGAAATCATCGATTTGTCTATGGAGACAGATGATGATTCAGAGGACTCAATGGATTTGATAGATCCAATAACCTCTGTAACCTCTATGGGAACAATGCAGCAAGAATCTATAGAAAATGCTGTGTGTGTCTTCAAGGGTCATGCACGTTGTAAGAAACAATTACTAATCTATAAAACTAAATGAAATTACTGATCTAAATGGAATTCATTAGCATGCATTAATAATAAACTTACATAATTATTGCAAGAATGATTTTCCTTCAGCAAATCCAATATATTGCGCTTGTTTGAGTCAAAATGGTGAGCTAGCGATAACAGGCAGTGGAGAAGATGTAGCGTACCTCTGGGAAACTACTACTGGGAACATTGTAATGAAATGTGATGGCCATATAGACAGTGTTATATTCGCAGAGTTCAGTCACGATGAAACCTACTTAGCCACTGCAGACATGAAAGGCCTTATACAACTGTGGGAATTGAGCTCTAAGACTTGTTACTGGCAGAACAACATAGGTGATTTATTTGTGAGTATTTTTACTTATCAAGAAAGCATGCATTCCTGTTCAAATCAATAATGCTAATTGTGCTTAATAATCGTTCTTGCTATCCAGTGGATAAAATGGCATCATTCAGCCAATATTTTATTAGCAAGCTGTGAAAGTGGAGAGATTTATATGTGGAGCCTACCAAAGGGAAAATGCAAAATTTTTCCAGGATATGGTAGTGTCGCGGAATGTGGAACTATTTGCCCAGATGGTACGTACCAGAATATTATCAGTTAAGAACACCAGATTTAAATTCATATATTGCAGGAAAGTCTATTGTGGTAGGATATAGAGATGGTACAATTCGTATGATAAACTTAAAAGACAGCACTGTGACAGCCACCATACCTATTAGTCAAGGTCATACTAGTCTCATCACCAGCATCGATTGTGATGTAAATAATAAATTGCTTATTTCGGTGTCGACAGACGGCAAGACTATACTGAGTACAGCGCACAATGGCAAAGTAAAGAAATCAACAATGATCTTGGATGCTTGTGCAGATCGTTTATCTATAATTAGAAACAATTTTAATGTTAATCAATTTTTCAGATAATTTCAATACTTCAAGATCTTAGTTCTGGAACGTCTACAGAACAAAATGATTGTACAGAAGAGGAAGAAAGTGAATCCAATACAAAAAATTGGGCAGAAACAATAGCTTTCTGTAAGGATCCTACACTTCCCTGTGCTGCCTCTGGAACAGTTAATGGTGAACTCTTTATATGGGATATTTCTAAACAGGTATTACTTTTTCTATCTGCAGTTAAGCTTTCTTTAATAGAAGGGATATATCAAGATTGGATTTTTTCCAGATTCTTAGGCACAACATAAATATTTACACGAAACGTGCTATAACCAAAGTACTGTGGAAAGGAAACACATCGATATTGTTTCTGGGTGGAGCAGATGGTGTAACGAGATGTGTCGATGCAAAAACTGGCGAATGCCTTAGGTTTTACAAGGGACATAAAGGTGCAATACTGGATTTATATATATCAAAGTACGTTATTTCTTTTTGTAATTATATACACACCATATGTAAAATAAATTGTAATAACTATATATTTTATTAATATTTACAAGATTTGAGATAATTATATACATATATAATGTTATATATAAAAATATATATTATTACAACTATACAAATATCAAATTTAGAAAATGTCCATATTCAATCTATTTGACAATAAGTAGAAAATAAATTAATTTGTTTTTCAGGAACGAAAAAAGATTACTGACAGTCAGCGAAGATGCCACAGCTATAGTTTTTGATATTTCATCCATATCTTGACGAAACGCGAAACATAGAAAATATTAATACAGAGTGGCAAAATTGTCATTTGGCAAAGAATATTCATGATAAGATTTTGCCGCCATCTTGTATGTTCGCGTTTTTTTTTAAATAATATCCCTTTTTGTACTATATACATTATTCGTTTTAGTGTATTATTTAAAAATAAAATCATTATTTTCATCTAATTTTTGAAATTTATTTTTGTCTAACTCTACGCATCCATTTATCTTTGTACCATATCGTGTCAAGCTTGTATCGTTTATTTCTCCATGTAAAGTGTGTTGGCGCATTTGTCTCATCATTCTCGAAATCGAAGGAGGCACTAAATTCGATAGCCAGCTGAGATCTTACGAGTCCAATGCCTCCTACTTTTTCTGGTGCAGGATGATACACTCTCCCTGTGTTAATATTCATGAACAATTTCTGTGGTTCAAAGCGTACCTAAAAAAATTTTAACAATTACAAATTCAATGAAACTTGTTACTTTTTGTAATTTGTATATTATAACTCTATCTGTACGATTACCATCAACAGATCATCTGCATGCGCGTAACTGAACCAGTCTTCCTGAATACCAGTTTCTATGTTCTGCACCTGAAATACCTTTGTGAAAACCAATGGTAGGTCGTCGCATCTTATAAAGTTTCTTTCCACACCACAGATTGAGAGGAATGGGAAGTCACTCATATAACGACCAGTGTTATTTTCCTTCAGGTGCTTGAAGAAGAATGCCAAGAACTTCTTGTCTGTTAAAATTTGTGGTTAATATATAACAAAGCATCTTTTAATAATATAAACAATATTGTTTACCTTTAAAACATGAAGTAAAGTTTCTTATGCGAACATCATCCAGAAATAACTGCAAACAAATATATAAATGGAAAGGAAGATATGGGATTATTTATAAAATATACTAATAACAAGAATAATTATAATTCAGCGTTATTAAATAGATATTTAAATTAAAAATACCATGCCTTGGTGATCAATGTAGTAAAAATATTCTCGTATACGGGGTTGAGGAGATTGCCCTTGAACGTATGTCACATAGTTTCTCTCGAAAATCCTCAACAAAGGAGTTTTGTAACTTTGCCTCGCAACTGCGAAACGAGCATAAGTACAAAGTCTCAATGTCATTCCGACAAATATGAATATAAAATAACCAAGATATGTATTATAACTTGCGATAGTACGATTCTTGTTGTTTTTCTATTTATATGTGAGAAAAGAAAGATTATGCGTTATAAATTGTTAATTTTTGATACTTTATCTATTATTTACAAGCAAATTCTATAAATTATTGCTTACAAATTGAACTGACTACAGCACAGACCTATAGAATGGACTATGCAACTCTGATTAAAAGTGCGTCTCGGTGCAGGACAACACAAGTCCAATATATACGGTACACAACTTATGCTGCAATTCTAAGCAGAATCGTAAGTCTCGTAACTTGTTCTCGTAAACCGAAATTATAGAAAGCTTTTTTGCAACATATAAAATGAATTTATTTGAGTCATCGATTTAATGGGGGTTTTGGGAATATAAATATATATATATATAAAGTTTAGAACTCAAGGATCGGCCTAAGTGTTCAACTTCAACTTCAAAATCTGGCTCCAGGCCTTTCTAAGAGTTATGCTCCAACGCCATTTTTCCGATAGTGATCTATATTAAGAGTAAAGTCTTGGAAAATTCCAAGACACGTTCCAAAAAATCACATGGTCCGAACGTGTTCAAACACGTCTTGTCGTGACGGCGGTTAGGCCGAAACTATGATCGGCCTAAGTTAGAAGTTGTTGATTTGCCGCGTACGATAATCGAGAAAATTTCGATACGTGCGTTTGACATGCTGGACATATTATCCTCTCACTATCATATTAATATTATTAAAGTAATATTAATATCTAATGGTACTAAGCATCTGTGCTTAGCTCCTTATAGGCCATTCAAATATTTCTGTTGTTCTCGTAAAATTCGTCAGAACTTATGAGTAGACTTACAAGTCTATGCAATATCATATGTCGTACAATTACTCATAAATATCTACGATTTCATGTAATTTACGATATTTAAAAGTGTTTGTACGACATATGATATTGCATAGACTTGTAAATCTACTCATAAGTTCTGACGAATTTTACGAGAACAAGTTACGAGACTTACGATTCTGCTTAAAATTGCAGCATTAACCTAAATTATAGCAAACTTAAAGGCTGGCTTATGATGGCCGTAATCCGTTAACTTATGTCGGAACTGTAAAAATTGACCAATCACATCGATTATTCTTCTATAATTCGACTATGATTGGTCAATTTTTTACGGTTCCGGCATACTAAGTTAACGGATTACGTCTATCATAAACCAGCCTTTAGGCCTGTTCTACAATACGTCGGATGCGGAACACAATCAATGGTCCGATCAGGAGAATTCGTTTCGAAAAACAAATCCTCTGATTGGCCCATTGACTGCGTTCCGACGTTCGACAGCGACATACGGCGTATTGTGTTCCAAGTCTAAGGCTAATATTTCACGTGTCGTACGCAAGCTTTTTGGATACGTTCATTGTTTGACGAATAGAGAACCTAGAAATACTCTATTCGCCAACCAATAAACGTATCCGAAAAGCTCGTCGTACGACACGTGAAATAGCACCCTAAAACTGAATATTAAAAGAGAGAGGGAGAGAGAAAAAGAGAGAGAGAAAGAAAGATTGTCTTGGCCCTTTTCTTTTTCCACGTTCATTAGGGGACGGCAAGGCGACGCGACGCGACGTCACGCGTCGCGGTGCCTAAATCGCGACAGCGGGAGATAATTCTGTCAAGAGAACGAGAAGGACAGAGGTGAAGGAGACGGCCGCGGCTGGTGGCAAACATGTTATGTTCGTGCGGCGGCAACAAAACGAAATCATACGTGTGCCGAACGAAGAGATCCCGACCTGTCGTCGCCGCTGCCAAATAAGTCCGTGCACGCAGGAACATGGCCTCTTCCGCGAAAAGATCTTGGAAGCTCCGTAAGATTTTGCTCACTTTCAGGGCGATGAAAGAGTCCTTATTTTCGCGCGCTCTGCTCCCCGTTGCGCGAAAATACGACTTCTCGATTCCTTTTCTCTTCGTCTTACGCTTAGGATAAACAGAGTCTGTTTACGACGACCACTCGACCGCTATCTCGCGGTTTTTTCCAATTATAGTGATGTTTCTCGTAGTGATATCACTTATTTTGCCTGCGGCAAGGATGGTAAATCGTGTTATATGCGAAGATGCGAGTTGTCGAATCTATATAACGTTCAGCTCTTAGACTAAGAATTATCTGATTTTCAGTTCTATACAAAAACAATAGACATTTATTTTCTATAAATAAAATTCTATTCAATAAATATATGTGGAATCTACTTTTTAAAAGTATCATGCTAAAGAAAATTGTATAGGTTTGTTTATAACCTTATAATAACTGTATAACCCTGTTATAACTGTATAATTTATATCGTGTTGTGTAGAACTGCGCCTTTCCTTAAGTTCTTACTGATAAACAGTCACTGTACACAAGTTGTTCCAATTAAGTTTTTCTGTTTGGGAATTATGTTTATAATTTATTTTATTAATCATTGGTTTTTGTTTTTCAGAGGAATTTGTCGCCCATTCACCAAACGTCAATTGTTTGGCATTAGGTCACAAGTCTGGACGTGTCTTGGTAACTGGTGGTGATGATAAAAAAGTGAACTTATGGGCTGTTGGGAAGCAGAATTGTATTATGGTAATTAGTCACATAATGATCTTGTTTCTTTATAAATTTGTTGGAACAACTAAATGATTGCAATTTCAATATTAACATAAACGTGTGAGCATTGTCGTATGACAATATCAGAATTAAAATTATTCATTTTCTTCTAGAGCTTAAGTGGCCATACCACCCCAATAGAATGTGTACGTTTTGGCCAAACTGAGGATTTGGTATGCGCTGGTTCACAGACAGGTGCGCTGAAAATTTGGGATTTAGAACATGCCAAATTGGCACGCACTCTGACAGGGCACAAGTCTGGAATACGTTGCATGGACTTTCATCCTTATGGAGAGTTATTGGCATCTGGTAGTTTGGACACTGCAATCAAGTTGTGGGATATTCGACGGAAAGGTTGCATTTTTACTTATAAGGGTCACAACAGGACCGTCAACAGTCTAAAGTTCAGTCCTGATGGACAGTGGATCGCCAGTGCTGGGGAGGAAGGAATGGTCAAGGTAAATCAGATACCTCTCTAAATCATCTTTAAAACAGAGACTGAACACTAAAGTGATTCGATTGGCGATTCAACATAAGTCTCATATAATCGGTTTTAATCCCTGTTTTAAAGAAGGAAAACATTCTTTCCATTATTCTTTATATTTCATTAACTGACATTAAATATCTATTATCTTGTACATTACCTTTTGATTTCTTCCTTGGTATGCTTTTTCATTTATACATAAAAGAGAGAGAGAGAAAAGACATTGATGTTTGTGTTACTTTTAAATTAGCTGTGGGACCTAAAGGCCGGTAGACAACTAAGGGAATTTTCAGAACACAGAGGGTCAGCGACTACCGTTGAGTTTCATCCACATGAATTCCTATTAGCCAGTGGTAGTATGGACAGAACGGTCCACTTCTGGGACCTAGAATCATTTCAACTTGTATCTTCTACAGAACAAAGTCATTCCTCTGCCATCCGGTGAGTAGTAACTTTGAGATCATAATAATTATTATAATATAATGATTATATCTCATGATCATTATATCACTTGATCATCGTGCTAATTTTCCACTTCACCATTTTAGGTGCCTGTATTTTAGTCAAGGCGGAGAATGTCTGTTTGCTGGTAGTCACGACGTTTTAAAAGTTTACGGCTGGGAACCTGGAAGAACTTTAGATACTATACCTACAGGCTGGGGAAAGGTTCAGGATATAGCCGTGGCTCAAAATCAATTGGTAAGGCGAGTTGCATCTCTCAAAGTCTCGCGAGAGTCATACGAGAGATAATTTTTGATTGCCTTTTAAAATGCAATACAATATATACAATTGTTCCAGATCGGTGCGAGTTTCCACACTGCGAATGTCATCTTGTACGTGTGCGACTTGAAGAAGATTGCGCCACTAGGTGGAGTGTCTACCGTGGGTTCGCCATTTAGTCATGGAAATTCTCTTAGGAAAAGCTTCTCTAGGGAACGACCGCTCACATTAAAGAAACACACGTGAGGTTTTCTTTGTTATAAGAGTCATCTTAAGGCTCCTGCTTGACAACCGTTTAGTAATTATTAAACTGAAACAAAAGCCTTCAGTATGTTCGATCAATATATTGTCGAATAGTGGCATGTAAAACAACTAATTTGTAATTGATTTTGATGTATAAGAAGAAATAGTTCTCACAATTTTTATATTTCACGTCGTAATATAATGTGACTAACAGGAGGCTTAATTAAAACGAGCCAAATTTGGCGAATCATAAAACTGTTGATGCACTTGCAGGTTGGACGTACGAACGATAGAAGAGGCGGACAAATCCGGCACAGATCCAGAAGATGAAGTCACTTACGCGGACATACCCAACGTGACCGAGTACAGAGACATTTTCCAGCCGAGTAGGGCGTGTAAGTAACATCCGTCTTAATGTCGCAAATTGTTTTCGTTGTCTCTGCGACCAAGAGGAAAGTCCGCTTTTGTCCTAACGTCTAATCCATCTTCCGCGATCACACTCGATCACCCGGTGACAAACTCTGTCGAACACACATGTCTAAACCGTGAATGCGTGAGTGTTGTATAGTTTTGTGAATGAGCATGCCACGCATGTGATATGTTTCAGTGTCTCGCACTCCACCCCCTGAACCACCCGAGGCTTACGAGGAGCCTCGCGACATAGGTGAGTTTTGTGTGATAATGTTCACCCAGCAGTGAATCCTCCCGTCCTTCCTCCAGATAGCTTGGAATTTGAGCGATCTGTGATGCACAAGCCAAATAATGGACGTGGATAAACTCTGTTGTATAAATGTGTGCTCCCTCTCTCACAATATCGTGAAATTAAAATCTAATGTGTTTCACGAACGAAACCAAATGCGTTTCGTCGTTACGGAACAGATATCATATGTTGTCGATTTGCTTTTTTAGATCCGGCCCAGCCGCAGATACTGCAAACTCTCTCTACCTCAATGTCGAATCTGAGCACGATTGAGCGCGAGCCTATGCCGCCGATGCAATCACCCTCTTCCCCGCCCCCGCCGGCACCCACGTTGTCATTGGCGAAACCCGTGTCGGTGCGCATTCAGCCGATCAAATCCTCGCCTCCGGTTCACCGGAACTCGATCACCTCGACGAGCCAGATCAGGGCGAATTTGCAGGCGAACAACGGCCTAAACAGGACGTCCAAGAACTTAGCCTCCATACCGCCGTTGAGACAGAATATCACTCCATTTCCCGGCAGAAAAACGATGGCGAACGACACGTTGCCGTTGCCACCGCAGCCCTTGGGCCCGCAGAGGTCCAACTCGACCTTGACGCCGCGGGTCGCGCCTATGGCCGCCGTCATTCCCGTGATGGACGACGGTAAACTGAAGAACAGAGTACCTAGTCCGGATTCTCCGAAACATTACCTGAAGAGACAGTGCAGGGACGGCGAGCAGGGATACGAGAGCGATTATCCTGTACAGTGAGTTCCTCTGGTGTACGATAATGTTAATATTGAAACGATGGAAATTCTGACTAAATATATGGGATATATTCTATACTTGGACAAGATGTAATATGTGGAGTATATTGAAATATAGATTAAATATATATTGTGTGAAATATATATAGAATAGTATTACTAATAACAATAATATATTATTACAGCATCATTAATAATGTACTATTTTGTTGGTTATAATACTGTATTATTCTATACGTATTTCATATGTATATTTTATATATTCCATATGTACTATAAATCTGTACTATAAATTATTATGAAATATCTTAAGACAAATATGCTGCGAAACGCGTGTCTTTTTCAGAATTAATAGCATAAGGCATAGTCCATCTGACCCGGCGTTGAACAGGCCGAACACTGCGCAGTCTAGGTCTACGTCGCTCAATAGAAACTTCACTACCTCAACCGCGCTGTCAGCACGCAATCCTCCCACCACCGCGTCGTCATCCACGAGAAAGCTGAACAAGGCGCAAATCCCGCCGAATCCTAAGCTCGATGTGCGCGTCTCGCAAATAAGAAACAGCGTGGAGGACACGGAGAAAGAAGAGCTCGTGCCGATGAGCGCCGACAAGCCCTACGGACTAGACGTTGAAAATTTTTTACCGGTGAGTTCCTCGACTTGATACAATCGAATTATAATCTGCAATACAAGAAGATGTTCATAGGTTCTATCGACTCTTTCAATCATACATTCGACGTAACTGCGGGAAAGTCGAGATAAAATTTCCTTATTGCAGTTACGACAAAACTCTTGCCTTCTATTTTACTTGCACAAAAATTCAACTCTGCTCGGACCTGAATTCTCAGATAGACAACGTCTGTCTTTCACAGCACAGTTACACCGGTTCCACGGCGTTGGGATACCCGCAGATGGGCGTGCTGACGGAAATGTCGGAGGCCGAGGTATTGAACAGTATGATGCGCAGCCACGAGTCGATGATGGCGGTGGTTAAAAGCCGGCATCGCTCGTTACAGATCATATACTCCCTCTGGCACAACAAAGATCTCAAGGTAATCATTTGTATCAGTTCTCCACTTGGAGCAATATGATATGTGCGGTCGATACAGTCGGTGACAGGGCAAAACGGGTTATTGATTTCAGGCCGCGGTGGATTCTGCGGTGGCGATGAACGATCTGGCCGTCATCGTGGATCTTCTGGGTATCCTCACGTTAAAACCGTACGTATCTTTCCCAATCTCGTCAAAAAACAATTGCTATTTATCTAATATTGTATCTTTGCCCGCAGAACAATGTGGAACTTGGATATGTGCAATTCGTTGCTTGGCCCTGTCAGCGATCTCCTTCAAAGTAAATACGAAATGTGAGTATTGAATCATAATCGCTCTTTGCAATCACTTGCGCTCTAGTTCATCATTTTATATACTAAAAAACGCATCCCTCTTCGAAATAATCGCTATTCTCAATAGTCACTACTCGTTACCGTCGACACGGTATTGTATCGGAAAATGGAGGAACTCTTCTCTTGAAAGGGTGCCACGTTTTCGAAACATTCGTTCGCCCGAGGCACGTGGGATCTAGGGTTGCAGTATGGGAATGGCTAATTTACTAGGGGAGGGAAATCCGAGGCGAGCGTGGGGTGGTCCGCGAAATTAGCCGAGACAATGGGAGATAGCGGCAGATGCAAATGTGCAACAAGAAGCGAGGACAACTTTCTGTCCGCGGACGAGTAGTATTGTTCGCGCGATTTCAATTGAAATCTCAAGTGCCGCGCGTTTGCATATGCCAACGTCTATGGTGTAGGATGGACAAATGGGCGGCCGAGTATCATCTTCACTGTCAAACGACCGTCAATGCTGGCGAATGTAAATCTGTCGAGAATGACATGTACGATGACGCGACGATGCGTTAAATCTTCAAAAGAGGAGGGGGGAAAAAGAGAATTTCGAGATTTTAATGTCTGGAAATGTCAACATTATGAAGGATTAAAACTTGACAGCTGTATAAAGCGCCGAATGTTTAGAAAAGTACCTGTAAATTCTACATTTAAACGATTGGAAGATTGCATGAGAAATGTAGAACTAAAAATCTAAAGGTTCATGTTCCATTGACATACGTATTTCGCACACCGTGCAAATTTGAACGGTTCCTCGTCAGATGTGCACCGTTTCCTCGGTGTATAGCTATAAATCCGAGGGGAAGGGAACTTGTCTTTTATATCCGTTTGAAAGTGGGTGATTAACCGACTGGCCTCAGTTCCAAGCTGTTGCTTGAACGCCGTGACGAGTAACGACTGTTTCCTTCCTCCGTCTCGTCGGAGGACTGCCATTACTCACCCTCGGCTGCCATTTCGCGTCCACGTGTTACCTCACGTGAATTACCGTCGCTCCTTCTGATTAGCACTTACTTTCCATCATTGGGAAGTTGTATTAAAAATAATAAAAATCGGTACATAATGTTTGAATAAAAAAAGACGAATTAGCGACGGAAATTCTGATCTATTGTTTAAAGCAAGAAGTTGTAGTTAACCACATGTTAATTTATCTTTAACCAACTTGTTAAACTTGCCTTTCCTCGACTGAAAATTCGTCGATAGTGTCTCACTTACTGAATTTCGGGTTTTTGCCTATTCATCTTTAATCACTAAGATCATTAGAATCGTTTAGAGTCAGTTCTCAACTCCTTAGATTATTTTTCATACATTACATCGTGATATATCGATTAGTAGCAGTCGCACTTTGCCGCTTTGTGTATGCTTAAATACCGTAAAAATGAATACAAATTAGTTATCCGCCGCTAAGCAGCTGTCGCCCGCAGTCACTCGTAATGAGGATCCCGTCAAGCAACTTTTTGTTGGGGCCTGTCGTTGTTTTCTGTAATTTGTGCAGTCTTCAGACGCTTCTTCATAATCCTCCTAATTATCTAACACAACAATAGACACAAAGATACACAATTTTGACATCAGTTTCAAAACTTGCCTCTTAAAAGAAATACTTAATTTAAGACTCTTGATTAGCTGATCCTCTTAACAGAAGGAGATACGATAAATTGCGGCAGTTGTGTATTTATGTACTTGCGTGACTCGATTCGTGTGTTCTACGGCACGCCTGTTGTATTCATTGTGTCCCGATTTCGCGATCGTTCGATTTTACGCGGCGAAATTGACAGGCAAATATACACATCTCGAGCAACATTATGCAGTGGCAGTATGCATATAGTTCGCGCTTACCGTTTTTTCACGGCTGATCCGTCACGGGCTTTCGTCTTGCACCCGTCGCCGCGTGAGAAAAAAAAGAGAGATCGCCGGTGAATGTCCAGACGCGTGTCATGAGGGAGGGTTCAACCCGCCCGATCGTTTTCCAATTTCGCGATCGCTCTTCGCAACCCCTTCTCTCGCTTTTTATTCCTCCACCGTCTATTTTCATTCTTGCAAATGTTCATGATTTCTGAAAATAACAGTTTTGCAACATTAAATTATTAAATAAATAATTATATGTGTGTGTGTGTGTGTGTGTGTATGTAGTAATTTAAGTAATAATTAAAAATAGGTGTATGTAATAATTAATATACTTACCACCGGAGAGAAATGACTAAAAAATTCGATGCCTTATTTTGTTTCTCGGAAATATATCTTAATTATCATGCACTGAGAGGAAAAATATCTAAGTAATCTAATAATAAAAATATTTATATTCCGTATGAAACTATCAGTAACATATTTAATCATACTAGTATAAAATATTTTTGAAGAAAACACACATTTTCTTAAAATCTTAAGAAAACCTTAGCTTTCCATGAAAGCGATTGTATATTATTATTTAAATGAAAAAATCAATTGAATTCAAGCAAATATGTTATATGATGTTATACTCATCAAAGAAATATTTACTACTTTTCAAATATTCTTTCTTTCTGTACGTTACCTTCGAAAATAACTGTTAATAATAATTGTTGTAATTATTTCTATACGCACCGTTTTGGTTTTCTCTCGATCGTGTTTCCCAGTTTGTCACGAGCCACGTGAAATCCCGATCGCGCGGTGCATTCATGAGACCGCGCGCGATTCGTCGCGCCGATTGCAACGGGAACAAGGGCACGAGAACCCTTTATCGCCCGTCCGAAAACAGGCATGGTGAATCGCGCAGGCAAGCCTTTCGTGTCCTTTCGTTATTTATTGGCGTCGTTACGGCCTAATAACGGCCGTTTTACAACGGGCCGGGGCGTGACCGGACGAAACCCGATGGGTGTCGCGTTCTCATCCTGTTCCTCCTGAAAATCGCTGGCATTCTTAGATAAATAGGAGCAGTTTTTTGTTCTTTTTTTTTTATCAAAAAAAAAAAACAACAGACAAGCAATCACCCACATTCGCAAGTTATTTATCCTAGCGAAACTGGATTTTTGTTTCAGGTACATAACGGTAGCTTGCTCGGCGCTGAGACTTATCCTTCGTAATTTCGCCCCGGTAATAAAATCCAACGTGGAAGCACCTCTTCACACGATCGGCGTCGACGTGTCGCGGGAGGAACGGTGAGTCCTGTTGAAGTACGATTATATTATCAGAAATATTCGTAAGATTATTCATCACTTGTATCATCTGCCAAGTGTATATTCATATGCACAAGCTGACGTTGCTAACCAACGATCAGATGGATCGTGAATTGATTATCGATGTAACAAATTTAGTGTATCGTCTACTGTCGATTGGAAATTTCTTGCATCGGTCGAACCTGGAAACTCGAGCGTTCCGCTTGAAACCGCGTTCTCGACTTCAGCCATGATCTTTTGTCGAAGCCTGGTTTCTTCGTTCGTTATCAGGTATCACAAGTGCCTCTCTTGCTACGAGAAGCTCATAGCAATACGGGCGATCCTGCTGAAGAAGCAGTCGACGACCCCCGGGAAACTCGGCGCGTCGTTCCGCGACCTGGCGGCCCTCATCAGGAGTCTAGAGTGACCGGAGCCGTGCCGTCTGTGAAGTCCCCGTGAATTCGAGACCACCGGTATCGTCAACGAACACTCACCAGGAACGAATAGGGAACGACGGAACGATCGAGCTCCCCTGTCGAGATTGCGCGACGAAGTCGCGACTGGTCATAGCTATGCGTCGAAAAAACGTGAAAGCGCGTTCCTGCTGCTGTTCTCCTCTTCCGTCGTCGCCGATTATCGGAGAGAGCGAACGAAGTTGCGGAATACTCGCGACTCTCCGTCGCTGGAACAAACAAGTAACGTTGAAAGAAAATGAGGGGATGAAGATAAGAAGAAGGAAAAAAGGAGAGAGAGAGAGAGAAAAAAGAGAGTTCGTAGTGTGAGAAACGGACAAAGCAAGAAGAAATTTGGGAGAGATTCGCGGATAAACAAGAGATGAAGCGAAGAGTGAAAATGTTGCTAATTGCGCTTAATGCTGTACCGAGACATCGAAACGATTTTTACACTTTTTGGAAATTTTAGAGCTTTCGAGCGTACTTCGAGGCTTCTTTCGATCTACTTGGTTTCAAGTCGGCTGAATTAAATTATTTTTTATAATCCGATACACACATTCCTGTTGGCATATTTTTAAAGCAATAAATTGAAGTAACGTCAGAAATAGTATCGAGGTTTTTGAGAGGCAACTCGACTAGATGGAATTATTTCAGGCGTGTACAAAATCAACAAATTCACCCTCGTCGAAGGTATTTTTGCTATAGATATTAATATACGTATCAAGATCCGAGAATCCCCCTTTATCACGAGGAAAAGAGGCAACACAGCAGGAAATCTCGTGTGGCGAAGCTCAGTGCCAGATTCCAGTGTGTCAGTATATCGATCTCAGAGTGCTCACTCGGGGATTACGTCTCGTGGAGAATATATCGCTAATTGCTGTTGCCGGTTTCGCTCCGTTAAGATACATGATTGCACAGCACAACTCGAGAGTTCCGTCGGCGTCTCGATATTCGCACGGACACTCGTTGGCCGGTGCTCTTTCGCGCCTTTCTTGCCAAGATCGTCGGAAATCGTGGGACGATCTGGGTGTATGTGTGTGTGTGCGTGTCAGCCTCGATCGCGCGGAGGCGGCGAAGGCAACAACGCTTAACTTGACAAACGAAACTAACGATGCGTGAATATAGATATGTAATTATATATTTCTTAGCGTATGAGAGACAGATGAATTGCGAGAGCGAAAGAGAGAGAGAGAGAGATAGAGCGAAAGGGAAAGAGAGAACGAGAGAGAGGGTGGGAGGGAGGAAGATTGTATTTTTGCAAGAGAAGCATTTTGCGTCCATTTACAATAAAGTACTCTTAACCATAAGCGTAACTCGATCCCTGCAGATAGACCGTAAGTATTTAACCCGTTGAGCCTATAATATATATTATGTAAAAATAAACTTGTACGCGCCTAAAAAGGACGGCAAAAGGGGGAGAGCGGAAAGAAAGAGAGAGAGAGAGAGAGAGAGAGAGAGCGTGTCGTAAAATAGAAGCCGGATACGCTTCGCGACGAACGACGATTCCTTTTATATACATGTTTAAATTATTTTTTTACAAAAGCGCCCATTAATCACGAACATTTTATCCGACGTTCAACGGAGCCACTTGAAACGCGTTCGATAGGTGCGAGTGTCGTCGAGAATGTCGATGTATAAAGGGCAACCGCGCGTGTGTACTTTTAAGAATATTACGACTTTTTATACTCCAAGTATTGACGCGAACAGTCGAACAAGTGTTTCCTCGATCGCACATCAGAATGCGAGAAATGCGGAAGAGTTGGGATACACTCCGAAGACAATACACCATTTTGCGAGACACTTCTCCTTTACTCGTTCTTCGTGTTTCGCCGTGAACAACGTTCGTGATTGTGTCAGACTCGAGCTAAATAGCGTTAAATTGGAAACTGTTTGAATCCCCGCGTTGCAAAATCACAAGATCACTGCTTTCTTTTTTTTTTTTTCTTTTTTTCTCCACATCCCACGATTTTAGCGCAATAAATCCTACTCGAAGCGGCACTTGCCGCCGCGTTGTAATATTTTTTATACAGAATTCGCACATTTTTACTCCTGTATTTTGTAACGTTTATTTTAGCTGCCATTTTATATCGAGTCTTACTCAACGCAACGACCGCCTTGCAGCGCAAAAGTGAGATGTGAGAATTCGCCGCGATTGGAGTCACGTCCGAATAAAAACTGGCGTAACTCGCTGCCTTTTATCTCATCGGCGGCGATATTCTCACATTTCCATGCTTTATCTTTGCAAAATCGTATCTCGATGATCATGTCGCGACTCAATTAGACGCGAAATAAAAAGATGGCTCAAAGTTACAACCCAGATCTCTTCCGCTGCAGCGATACCCTCGATGCTACCGATAAGCGGCGAAAGTATTAATAGCCAGTATCAATGAATTTTGGAAGTCATCTAGCGAGAACATTTCGAATCATAGTTCTGAAGATGAGACAGACATTTATATTTCTTCACTTTTAAAATCGTCGCATCAGTGGTGATTATCAGCAAAAATTCTTGTTTAAGAGATAATATAATTTAATATATCCAAATTTTTCGGGAAAATACCATGATATGAATTTTATATGTAATCTTTAAATTGCCAATTGAAATACAACAATACGAAACAGATGTGACTTGAAGTGTTCTTCGCCCATGGTTTTTATCTTCTCCACACTCCCGCCGTCATAATCGGATTTGATCTTAATGGATTTTACCTCGAGATATGCGTCATTCAAATTGTTATAAGTTTACAATGTCTTCTGCGATCACCTGGACTCGTTAGGTCTTCCTTTCTATGTACGCGCGTAACATTGAGAGGGAGACTACAATTTCTGATATTGTTTTAGTGCAATACTCATGTGATTGTGCGATCACCCCGATCGTCCATCCCGCAAATGGACATTGTTTTTCTGTTTTTTGTCCTCGGAGAAAAGAGAGTGTGGCACAAATAAAGAGAGAAATAATGAAGACAAGTCCGAGGAATATCGCAATCTTTAAGCACGTTGTCTCAAAGTATTATGCAATAAAACGTACAACGCCCGTTCATTTTCCATCTCAGGTGTTCTTTTTTTACATCACATACCTTTATACTTGATTTTGGATCTTCACATTAGAAGAAACAGATGATTCGTCAAAAAAAAGAGGAAACAAAATATCAAATATATTGACGAACTTCAGAATTAGTTTAATTCTCGATTAATTCCATTACAGGACAAGTAAAATGTTACGAAAAGAATAGCCAAATATCAAGAGACATATCAAAATCACGAAGAAAATGTCAACCAGAGGGAATAAACAGGTGTCAAAGGAGTAACAAAAATCGTAAAAAATTCGGCAAAAATTCTTTCCCACTTTTTCACGAATCAGTTTTCTTATTATTTTTGCAAATCCTGTAGTGTTCCCTTCGTCGAGGATTATTTTACACACGCTTCCTGGAACCCTCCATCCTCTTAAAATAAAAACCAAGATTCTCACGATGTATAATTCGTCGAACATTATCGCTGAGTGGCGAAGAAAGTAGAACGCGATAGAGCTTAACATTTCAATCATCTTGGGAATAGAGGGAAGAAAATAACGAGTGATACTCGTCGGTTCCGTCCAACTCTGTATTTTTGTAAGATAACGAGAAAGAAAGAAAGAGAGAGAGAGAGAGAGAGAGAGAGAGAGAGAGAGAGAGAGAGAGAGAGAGAGAG